ATGAATATATATTTAGAACGTTGATTACACTTAAAGTAAAATAAAGAGTCTTAGGAGGTACTCTTAATTTTGATTGTTTCTTCAAACTTTCAGAATGTTATTTTTTTGTGTAGAAAATAACCTGTGCAAAGTTTCACATCATTAAGGTAGCATAGGTTTTATAATGTTTTGTTAGAAAATAGAATACTTTCAAATGTCATACAAATGAGTTCATCATGAAAGTGTGAAAAATCTTTTACGAGTACTTCTGCTATTAAATTAAAGAATATTTCAATGCTAAAGTTTGAACATATTTTTTGGCCTCGAACTTAACGCCGCTTGAAAGGCTTTAAAAATCGAACAAATATTATTTTGAACTAGCTTAATAAAATACGCATCTTCCACCGTGCGGAAAAGTTCGTCTTACTCCTGTAAGACTCTTCATTTTACTTTAAGTGTAATCAACGTTCCAAATATATAAATGTATATTCGTTTTAATTCACAATACACAGAAAAAATATCTACCAACTATTTTCATCACCAAATTGATATCAGAATTTTTGTGTTTCAAATTTTGTTTCCGTCATTCGTTCTTCATCTCGACAGAGGTTTCTTTTTTTGATAAACTGAACAAAAATATTTGTGTTTTAAAAATCTTAGGAATTTAAAAAGAGATCTCGACTGACATGTTCATCTCAGTGTAGCAACATTTAACACTGCTATTGAGGTCAACCATCACGGTTTATCTATCTATTTTACATTTTTCTGCGTTTTTTCTGCATTTTTGTTTTTCTGCGTTTATTGTGCTGCATTTTTGGTTTTCTGCGTTTATTTTTCTGCGTTTTTGTTTTCTGCGTTTATTTTTCTGCATTTTTGATTTCTGCGTTTATTTTTTCTGCGTTTTTTCTTCTGCGATTTTTTTTCTGTGTTATTTTTTCTGCGTTTATTTTTCTGCATTTTAGTGTTTCTGCGTTTTTATTTTCTTCGTTCCGTGAAGGAACCATCCAGTCGATTGTTACTATTTGCTCAGATGAAATACAATCTCATGTAATCACATTTTTTTTTTTTTTTGAAAAATTTCATCGCTGAATTTTGCTCGTACGCGGGGGGATTTTTCACGTAACACACATTTGTTGACTCACTTGTAGTAAATCGTTTTAAAATATTCTTTTCGGCCGATCTGTATTGAGGCACGAAATCATAAATATTTATTTTTTTTCACATTCAACACGCGCAAACTACATTTGTTAGATGTGTGAACGCAACAAATGGTGAGACGTTGCGTTGATTTGCTTTGAATTCGATTGACTCCAATCATTCGACGTGCTATTTGATATTTGCGAAAATAAAAACCGATTTACCTAAAATTGTTAGATTTCATTTGTTGATGACTTTCTTCGTAATTATTTAAATATATTTTCTGTTGACATACAAAAAGACTGAAACATTGGCCGTTATGTGTGCCTATTTGATCATGTAACGCCCAACGATTTTGACCGAGAAATTTGTAGAATTTCGTTTTTCTTCCGACGTTTCAATTGCTTCGTGTTTCAAGCGCTCGATGAACATCAAGTCAATACATTTTCAGCTAGTGTTTTTTTTATCGCGAAAACGACATTAAAAAAAAAACAAATTTCGCTTATAAATTGTACATACTTTCCCGTTTTTAATGTTGTGTTGAAAATCATCACATTTTTATGGCTTCCGATTCAATTCGTTGAAATTGAATGTTGTTTTTTTTTCTTCTCTCTTTCGAAAGATAATCATCAAAAGACAGCTCACGTCATTAATGCATGTAGAAAAAAGTGTCTGAGTCAATGAAGTGCGCATAAAAAAGTGCTTCACAGTGTTCTTGAGTGTGTTCAATACTTTGAGGCGTCAGAGTCGTTAACCAGTTATCGTTATCATTCGTGTCGATTCATTACCGGTTGTTCGTTGCTTCCTATTTGCTTTCTCACGATCTTCTCTCTGTGTGGTTTTTTTTAATGTTCTTTCACCTCTTATACATCAAGTACATAGTCACAAACACATTAGAACATTTTTAATGGATAAATAAAGTGTAAAAATATGCGGTACACGCTTAATTTCCTCTGTTCAATACATTATTTGCAAGAAGATACGCGATTTTTTTTTACTCTCCCTCGATGTTTTTTTTTCTTTCGGGAAGAAATGCGCGTTGCTTTTGAAAAAAAAAATTGCAAATAGAGATTTTTATGGCTTTCTCTTTAAAGTGAAACGAAAAAAAAAGATGATAAGCAAAATGGAATGATGAAAATAGCAAACCCATTACGAATTGACAGCAACCTTTTGCTCATTGTTTGAATAATTCTGTGTGCGGGGAAAATATAATTAAATATTTGAAACGACGTTTGCTCAACAGCCGAGCTAAATTGATCGGTGATGCTATCGAATGACGACTACCATCAAGTACGTTGTACTTAAAATGCACCACAACGATGACGCAAAATTATCGTCGTCGAGATTTAATATAAGCAAATAGCTAACGATTTATAATGTTAAAACGAATTCATTTGAATATTTGACATCGGATTTGGATTTTTGTTCGGCATTTTAAAACTGCACCGTTTTTACGCGTAAATTCATCTTATATATACTCCAATCAGCCGCTCCCGGTATCAGTTCTAATAATCGGTGGCCGAAAATTTCGGTTCATTGAAGTGCGCTCCTTTTTTGAAATCGACATCGCTATTCTCGACGGTAATGGTTGTACTCTTGTATGATGAGCGTATAAATGGCATTCGACGGTTAAAGTTTATCTGTGTATCATAAATCATAAACATGTCGCCCTATTTTCTATTCGTTCATTGCAGCCATTCATACATTGGTCGTTGTGTTTTCATCTGTTCTTTTGCTCTGTTTGCATCCGTTTAACTTTGCAACTCATTGTTTGATTCGTTATATATTGTTGCCGATGTCGAACGATATTGCGGTTTCAGGATAATAGTTCACAAACACAATTAAATGGCAAACGGAATTGAGACAGTGTGTGAACATTTCTGTGGGGGCATAAGCCTCTCTAGTATATCTTTAATCATTTTCTTTGATCAAATACAATATATTCAAGTGACAATGTACTACATGCTTCGACATCTTCAAAAAGTTAAACAGGCAAAAGATTGTTGCGGTTGCAACAAGACAAAGGGAGAGAGAGGGAGAAAGAAAAGGAGAAAGGGATGTGAACATAACTGAAGCAAAATCGATTACATGAATTATTATTAGATTTCTTAAGATTGAAGCCTTGAGCAAATCACAATCATACCAGCATGTATTCACTGCAATATGTATCACATATCCAAAAAAAGACCGAAACTTTGAATCCAATATACAAAACACCAGCGGCAAAATACAATAATTTATTGCTCGTTTCCGATTCGGATTCGGGTACGATAAATGAATCACACATATTTAGAGAGGATAATTGGACATTTATATTTGGAAACAGATTTACATGCAATGAACAAAATACAGTACTTCAAACACTCATTAGATACAGATGAAAATCAGCACACATGGAATTGTAATGCATATTGAATGAATGCTGCAATTATTTTGTGTTAAAAACGAGAAAAAAAGAATAGCAGTAGAAAAGGTATACAGAAAAGTCTTATGAAAATAGAAGAGTTCATGTTTTCATTTCTTTTTAAATGATGTTTTGTATTCATTTCCGTTGACAGGATATTTTCCACTTAAAAAAATAATTTTCTATTTTTTCACCAAGAAAATTTCGAATTGATAAAACTCATTCTGAGTGGATGACGATAGGCAGCTACACGATAGGCAGTAAGAGGTCAAGATTTTTTTCAAATGCCTCTGCAAAGTATGCAGCACATAGTTGTTCATTTCATGTACAATCCTGACACAAACAATTGTGTAAAACAAGGGAAAATCTGCGAATGACTTTCTGCACATTCTGCTATTCTTGTTCTTGATTCAACTAGAAAATTTTCCAAATTCACTTGAGTTTTGTTTCGGTCTGGCTGTAAAGCGTTCCATTTCATTCAATATTAATGATACGGAAATATGCATTGAACAAACATAAGCGAATACAGGAGTTGAACATGAAAATGGAATGCTGTGTTCAATTGTGAATTTGAAAATTGAAAAATAGAAAACGAGGCCGACACACGGACAATGAATCCTGGTGCTCTCACTTTTTCTATCTCGTTTATTGGCTGAACAAAATACGCGTGTTATCGTCGGCGTATATTGAGAGGATTTATTGAGAGAAATGAATTATTACTTTCGGATAGGCGATAAAATTGGTGCAATCGAGCGAAAATATGCACGTATGCAGATTCATAATTTACGAGCGATTTGTTTACATTTCGAGCATGAAAGGAAAAAAGAGCCGACAATGCTCACACCGTTTTCATTGGTTGTTAATTACTTTTGATAAGTCCGGAATTCAATCCAGCGTGAAATTCGACTCTTTAATGAAGATTACTTTGAACAACAACAAAAAAAATGATTGATTTTGGATTTCGAAAAATCGTTAATAGACTCGTGATATACAGAACCGTTAAAAAGAGCAAAGAAGAAAAAAAAAACAAAAGAAACATTTCATGGCAAACAAATCGATTGATTAATGTTGCCATTTCATGTGTAAGTTAGATTGTCTATTCAATGTTTTTCGCTATAGAATAGCGTTAATCGTCTGAATGTAATCAAACGTTTGCTCCACCTCCGTGCTAAAAAGACATCTTCATAGAAAATAAACATTTACTCTCTCACTCTGCGTGCAAATTCTTTCAAACGCTCCAAGGAATGTAAAATTAATTCGTTCGCCACGCTGACTATATCCATGCAATGTTGTCGACCAAATGTCGCAATCGCTTATAAACAATTTATTTAACCATTGCTATATATGATGTAAAATACTTTCCAGTCGTCTTCCAATACATTGAAGCATGCGCCCTTACTACAGAACATACTGAACGAATTTCATCCCCTTTGGTCTATTGTGTACACATTATGGAAAAACAGATGACGTTCGAACGTTGATGAGAGTGGTTGCACACATAGTTACTCTACATTGTATTATTTAATCGCAAAAGAAATTTCGTAGAAGAGGCTCGATTTTTTTGTTTTCAATTATTTATATCAAATAGATAAAGTTTTGATTAAGTAAATAAAAAGGTGCAAAAAAGAAAAAAAGATGATGAATTCGAGTGTTATTAAAACGGAGCAAATAAATCTGCAGAAAGCGCACTTTTGTGTGAAGTGCGATAAACAAATTCAGGATCGGTATTTTTTAAAGGCGTTAAATGCCTTTTGGCATGAAGATTGCTTGAAGTGCAATTGCTGCGATTGTCGTTTAGCCGATGTTGGTTCAACACTGTTCACACGTGAAAATGTGATTTTGTGCAAAAGTGATTACATACGGTGAGGAAGTGTTTTTTTTTTGTTTTGAAAAACCGAAAAAATTCGAAAAATAAATCTTTTACATTTTATTTTAAATTGGTGAACAAAAAAGTGGATTTTAGAAAAATACATTAAAAATCAAAAAATTTCAATTTTTAAATTCAAATCCATTTAAATCAATGTAACAAAATTAATCAAACTAACAAGAAAAAATCTCTTCAATTTGTGTCATTTCACAGACTTTATGGAAACACAGGACATTGTTCAGCTTGCAATAAATTGATTCCAGCATTTGAAATGGTGATGAGAGCAAAGCGTAATGTTTATCATTTGGAATGTTTTGCATGCCAGCAGTGTAGTCACAGGTAATTTTCTATCAAATTTGTTTCATTTCTAAAATGTTCATTATTTATTTTAAATCAATTACACTAATTTTACATCAAAAAGTAGTAAACATCTAACAAAAAATATGTGTTTAATTGTATAAAAAAATAGATTTTGTGTTGGCGACCGCTTTTATTTGTGCGATAACAAAATTCTATGCGAAAATGACTATGCCGATCGTCAGTTGCAAATGGAAATGAATCAACAAAATCAACAGAATGTCACCACCACTACTACCAGTAACAATAATAACAACAACAGTGAGTTCAGTATCAATCGAAATTCGATGAACAAAAGCCAAACAAGTGGCTCAGCAAATATGACGCCACTATATTCAGAGAAGAATAATTTCACAAATTTCGATGTACCAATTCATGTGCGATAAATATATGATATTGCGCCAAGTCATTTAAGACTTAAATTAGCATAACCATATTTAATTGAAATATATCCTAAAATACATTGTAGTATTTTTGTTTGTTTCATTATAATAATAATAATAATCTTGTAACTTGTTTTTGTTTATGATTTTGGTGATAGTTGCAATGTTAAACGGAGACGATGCAATGAAAATAATATACTGATACACCTATTTGTAAAGACTGTCTGTAGTAAAATAAAAGACTTTTCTTTAAAAAAAATAATAATAAATCAATTGAATGTTTAAATTATGCTTCATTTTCGGTGAGTATAGCGAAAAGGTTGTTCGGTCGAATAAATATTAAGCCGTTTAACATGCTCGAGTATCTTTAAATAAATAGTGATACGTGATTTAGTTCGTTTTCTGGCTTGAACAAACACGCAACGCACGTAGTAAACATTGAACGACATACGGAGACATTGATTGTTAATCTCACATTTCAAAGCAATGCAATGCAAAACATTACACTTATTTAGCTATTAAATGCAGACGATTCCATTAATAAGGCATGAATGCAGTGGCAACAGCGGCGACCGAATAGTTTAAGGATGAGTTCAAAATGTGTTCGACATCAATTTAAAGTGTGCATCACAAAAATTCAAGCACGATGTTAAGCCGAATGCGAGGACTTGAGCAAATGCAACGCTTGAAATTTGGGTAATGAGAGTTTCTCTCTCTTCGATTGGTCATACACGCTTGCAACGGTCAGTTGAGTAATGAATGTAATTGATGAAACAAATTGATCCCATTCGATGGGTATATAAATACACAACCAAAATACACGACGCACCATCCACCCGATGCCATTCTCATCTATGCAATGCCAGAGACCGGAACACTTATCCACGTTAAGGTAATCAACAAACTGGGTACATAAATCTTGTATGTTTATACAAATTCTCTCCTCTATTCTACATACACATGCATACACATATGATTCTGTAGGCATTCAAATACGGCGTGTCGGTTTGAAATTTATCCTCGCTCGTAATTAATGCTCATTTGGAATGGGGTTGCAATCGAAGCAAACGATGTTCCACATAAATGATTTTCCTCTCCGTCTTTTTTTCAGTTCGTTTGCTTTTTTGCATTCGCATTTTAGAAATCATGGTAAATTGCGTTAAATTAGCTACTCCAACTCATGGTATGAACATGTACACTTATAATTTCTTTTGATTGGGGCGCGCTTCGTTGCTGCAAATCACTTCTTAGGCTGTTTATGAACATTTGCTTATTTTTTCAGACGATTACATTTCGAATTGAACATCTTTCATCTCAAAATCATTTATACATTTAGATAATTAAATAATAATAGATGAAAAACTAAAATATGCTCAAAAAACAACCCTGTTTTCAATCTTTATTCGTAAATAATAAATATCAAGCAAAACAATTGAATCGATTGTGATTGTTATTGTGCTTTGAATATGCCACACAAATTGTCCATTGAATGAGAGTGGGAGCGAATGTATCATACACCATTTTGGGTATTTGTTTCGTTTTTAGCATTAAATTAGTCAGAGCGTTTATCTATTTACGCGAAAGCTGTCATAAACATCTGTGTTGCATCTCGTGCAGTTTTGCGGTTTTTCAAACCGTCCATCCACCGTTCATAAGCCCAGCATGTTGCTTAGTAAATCGTTTGTACCATTTAAACTCAAACCAGATTTTGTGTTAATTACGCGCACAAACAATCAACAATAACAACATCAACGCCAACCAAAACACCGAACGGAATTTTCGCATTTCAGCAATTTTGTTGGAAACAATGTGTTTTTGGTCACGATATATGTATCGTATACGTCGACGTTAATAGAAAATTTTCTATCTTGTATGTTCAGAGGGAAACAGTTGGCGGCTCATACAATGTCATTTGGTATATGCACTTGATAGCATGTTTCAAATTGACGAATTTCAAATGAATTATTTTCAATTGAATTTTTATACCATCCAAAGAGACAGATAGAGTTGAGTGCTTTTTGATTTCGTTAAAATTTTACTCAAATCATTTATTTTTAAATTTTCCAAACCGTCTCCATTGCGAAAGCAACAGAAAGCACTCAATCTACGTTGCTATGGATATATTATAAATAATGTTTTAAATGGGAGGAAAATAGAAGTGAACCAAATCAAATAAGAGGAAATATTTAATTACATTCAGTGATTTATAAAAAGAATCAATTAAAATGGGTAAGAAAAAAGGAGCCGCCAATAAATTGGCGAAAATGTCGGATGAAGAACGAGCACGATATTTACAACATCGTGCCGATCTCGAAGAAGAGGCTCGTCGTCGGAAACAACAATTGATTGCAATATTCTTAAAGGTAAGACCTTATTTTAATTTTAATTCATTGAACAGTTATTTAATAATCTTACGTTATTTGAAAAATTATTTATTTAATTTTTTTAATGAATTGTTGATACTTAGAACAAATTAAAAAGAGAGGAAGCATTCTCACGATTGAATATGGCAAAAATAAATCAAGAATGGCGAACCATTTTGCGAAATATCAAATGTGTTGAACTTCGAAATGAAGCAAAAAATGTACAAACCTATTTTAACGATGCATTCCAACGGAAGAACCAAAAAATCGATCGATTGCTCTCTGAGCTAGACCAGCAGGAAGAAATGTATGTGACGCTGCTTAATTCACATATGGAATCGATCAATAAAATTATTGGTAATAACTGTTTTCCAAATGTATCGACTTTTCAATTGGTCTCGATGGATCTTTATGTATATTTTGAAATAATTTTTGTGAATAAAAATTGATTTTAATTTCTGGTAGGATTGCACGAAGAGCGTTTAGCTTACTGGACACATCAATATGAAAACGAAAAGAAAATTTTACTCGATCAGTATACAGCTGAAATTGATAGTTACAAAGATCGAAAATTTCGAGCACACAAAGAACTTGAATGTGTTTATTACGCTTTGCAAAATGAGAACGATACACAAAAGGCTCAAGATGAAAAGAAACATCAGGAAAAAATTGACGATATCAAAAGCAAGGTACCAACATTAATTTTCCTTTTTTAAATTTCAACAACTAACAAAAATGGATTTAAAAAAAAAATAATTTTAATTTTTTAAATAATTTAATTTTCTGAAATAAAAAATCATTTATTTATTTTTTGATATCACCAGATGATTTTGAAGCTACAAGAAATGACAAAAGATCGTGAAGATAAAATGAATGCGTTGTGGTCAGAATTTCAGCAAATACTTCGAAATTATTCGGAAAAAACACAAGAAAAATATGCGGAATATGTTGAGATGCGTGAACGTGACAATGCCGATACAAAAGAAATTCATCAACATTATTTGGAAATTGCAAAAGCAACCAGAGATATTTCGCTATTGCGAGGCATTCTTGAGACACAATCAAATGAACATCAAATTCATGTTAATCAAATAAAACAATATCTGCAGTTATTGAAGGAGAAACAGAAACGCCTGAAACAAACAATGAATGGAAGCGAAAAAATACATAAAAAATTGATGAAAACACTTGTGATTAACAGCATAGAAGCAAACACGGTAAGCTAATCACTTTTTTTTTTAAATAGTGATTAAAATGCTGAATTTAATTTTAGAAATGAAAACGATTAAATGTCAAAAGACTATATTTAAAAAAATTAAATTAAATTCCAGAAACTCGAAAAATTATTGGTGAAAGGAAAAAATATTTTACAATTGACCGAAATTTGTAGCAAGTATGAGACGGAAAGAGAAAAAATTCAACCGTTCAAAGCACAAAATTCCATAGAAATAACAAAACAAACTGAAGATCGAAAAAATGGAATGTTGGAAGACTTTAAGGAGGTTTGACCCTAATAATTTGAACTATTTATTTCAAAATAAATTTCAATGTTATTGTTTCAGCTTAATTTAAATGTCGTCTCTAAGATGGAACATTTCTGGATTCGTTTTAAAAATGTCGAAATCGACTGTGCATGCTTGGAGGAAGAGCGTCAAGTGCTGCGTAATGAAAATGAAATGCTGAAAGAGAAACTAAAGCAATATTTGGAAGATGTATCAGTGGTGAATGGACGAGTTGGTTCGTCCAAAGAACGTCTTCGACCACAAAGTATGAAAATTGAACGGACCACTTGTGTTATGTCCGCTCCAACTACTATTACGAATCAACAGCGGCGGCCAGTCACTGGTGTTGAAGGCAATTTAAGTGTCGCTGTTAGAAGTAAAAGTCTCGTACAATCAAAACCAAAAACACCAAACATTTACTCAGTCGTAAATTGAATCTTAACATAAGTTTATTTTTGAGGTTATTATAAAAAATAAAATAATCGATTTTAATCAACTAAACCCGTTTCGACTGTGAATGCCGTGTGTCCCATTTCAAAGATTGGATGTGACATGCCCGTTCGTCGTGCAATTTGTGCGGCTGTCTCTTCCGAATTGTTCAATGCAGCTGTATTACAATTCGGTTCCAACATTAATGTCATTGCTGTCTCTCGGCAATTCGATACAGTGGCAGCAATATGCAATGGAGTCTGTTGACCTTGAGATAAAGCATTCACATCAGCACCATGCTGCAACAAAAATGCAGCCATTTCACTGTTTGACCACTTGACCGCTGAATGCAATGGTGTCCATTCGTATTCTGTTCTTGCATTCACATTTGCACCATATTTAAGCAGAATTTTAGCAATGTCCATTTTGTTGGAATAGGCTGCTCGATGTAATGGTGTGTAACCGTCCTCATCGCGCGAGTCTTTTGTTGTTATGTCTCGCATTAAAATACTCTCAACTAAATCAGATTTGCCTTCCTCCGTTGCCCAAAGAATTTCTTTGTGTAGGGTTTCTGTGAAGCGGAAAAATGAACGAATAAATATTCACATGTCTTTTTTTAAGTTGTGTTGAATAATTTTACACTCAATTTCAAGACGTCATGTAATTTATACCGTTTTTTTTCTTCATAAATTATAATTTATGCTTACCTCTTGGATTTTTTTCTTCGAAAACTTCATCGTTCGGGTCCTCCCAACCACTGACAAACATTCCCGGTCGTACGTTTGCATGTCGAAATTTCTCCAATTGGTCAATGGATTCATCCGAATCACTTTCTCTTAATGGCATTTTATTTAAATAAAAATAATATTTGGATATTTTTCGGTGAATAAATCAGTGATTCGTTCGACGATTGTTGTTTAATGTTGTGCTTTAACCATGTTCACGAATATTCTGTGAACTGTCAAAGTTTCTGATAACAAGGAACTGTCAGTGGAGCTGTCAAACACATATACGCATATATACAAGAGCCGAAAAAGTAAACATCAGATGCATTCATTGCGTTTCAATTGAAATAGATCGGGACATTTTATGAAAAATAAAAAAAATAAGTATTTTATGCAAGAAACGAACGTTTATTTTTGTCATTTGGAAAGACAATTAATAACCGTTTCTAATTGCAAATTAAATTTAAAAAAAACTTGATTTTATTACTTTAAACTTATGGATTTGTTAGATAGTTTTTAATATTATTGCAATTCAATTTATTGAAAATGCATTATGATCAAAATTATAATTCAAATGAAATGAAGACAAATTGTTCCAATATTTCGTTTACAAACTTATAAAAATTGAAAAGATATGAAATAAAAATATTTCTAACATTTTTGGCAAATTTACAATAATTGAATCATAAAAATTATATTTACAGAAAATTATATTAACGCATAAGTTTTTTGTATAGTTCATGATAAAAGCAATCTTGATTCGTATAATTTGACATTTTCAGATAACAAGTTTTCAATACTAATGTCTCATTCTAAAAAAACCGAGTTCAAAGTTAAATACGTCTTTCGTAATGATGTCTCCATTCGTACGAATACGATCGTCTCATTTCAAGTAAACTCAAATTAGTATCACCATTTCTTGTCGCCCATTTAGTGGCCACAAAGATATCGTCACTGGTATAAATGATTATTTTTCGTGCTCCAGCCAACTTGGCTCGTTCATCATTCAACATTCTTAAATTCAAAACTCCACCTTCTTTTAAGTGTAACAGTTTTATCTTATTTAATTTTTTTGATCGGCGTATGAATGGAACAATGTGATCAATGCTTGCGCTTGTTATGTAAAGACGTTCAAGTTCCTCAAGACCATTTGCTAGGATCACAAAATCCGTGGCATTCGATAAATTCAAAATAATAAGCTCTTTCAAATTAGTCAATTGTGGCAAATTATCACTCATATCAAACGATCGAATGCATAACAATTCGAGACCTTTGACTGAAGGCAATAAGTCACTAAGATCAATGGGATACTTGGAAATGTTATTGGTGTAAAAATAAAGTCGTTTAAAAAAACCTTGTTCATAGAGTCGATTTAACAAATTAAAAAGATCAATCAACATTCCTGGTCTCAAACGCACTCCTTTGACCTCCAGTATATCCAATTTCGCATTGTAATTCAAAAAAAAATCTTTGTTGTCCCATAATACAAGTGAGGTAGTTGAAAATCTCTGAATGTTTGGATTAAGTACGAAAAACTTACTCAATTCATTAATTCGATATGATTGGTTAATATCAGCAGTGATTAATTCCAAATGTTCAAGCTTGGGATATTTATTTAATAACCAGTCGTGTCTGTGACCTCTGTAGTTAGCACGTTTATTACCATTAGCATAAACTCTCTTTAAATTCTCTCCATATTTCAACATTAATTCATATAAATCACCATCGATTGTGCATTCTTCGATATGCACAGTTTCCAGTTGGGGCAACAAACTTTTGAAAAATTCGATCGTTTCGTTATTTATATTAAAGTACCAAAACTCAATGTTATTAGTCAACTTAAATTCACTGATATGAAATTGAACATAAGGCATTTCATATCTAATAATTGAAATTTTTGGCCTGAACTGATTGAAGCCTGGTATTCCGAACGGTTCGCAAAATGAATAATTCATGACAGAAAATGGATAATTTTGTTTGAAATATTCGCCGGCCACTTTGTTCATACGCTTGCATGTTTGGCCAAATGAATGCAAGTCTGTCATTTCCAAGTATTCAAATATTTCATCGAAACAGTCGACGTTCATATTAAAGATTTTTGGTGATGATTCCACACTTGATGTTGATGAACCAGCAACTGCATCTTCATTTCGATTATCTGGATGAGGTATTTCTTCGTATTTTTGCATTCTTTCCATATCAATTGATGATCACCGCCTCTTCACAAAGTTCTAATGATTGCAACAAAATACGATGATTAAAATTCAACAAAATAAACAAGTACTCAAGTTAAATTTACACGAATTTATTTCACATGATTTTTGGTATACATAGAGAATAATTACGTAATATTTTTTTTTGTGATTGCAGTTCTTGGAACCAGTTTATTAAAGATGTCAAAACAGCGTTCAGAATAAGACTGATTATATTATTTTTATTGTATAACATTAATTGTTTAGCGGGCCGCTCTTCATTGCGTTATTGTCGCGCGAGAAGACTTTTTACAATATGTGTATTATACACACAAAAGCCACATTAGTAAATACAACGCCATCTAATAGTGAAATCTTAAATCACTTATAGCCAAACCAAAATATTTATTTTAATATTTTGCTGAATTTGAGAATTAATCAAGACATTTTTTTCCTAAATTTTTTTAAACCTTGACTTGACCTTCTATTTATACCTACGCGAAGTATAAGAACTCTTGCTTAGTGTATAGAAATAAATTTGATCTTTGGAATGTCCTAATTAGTCTACCTTTTTGTGTGTTTTAATGTCTTACTTCTCTATATTTGCCATTTATTATGTTCATAGTTGTTGAAAAAGTTAGAAAGATTTAATATGAAGGAGTAACGTGCCGAACATCGAATGAACCACTTACCAGTTAAATTTTAACATTTGAAGTAACAACTTGAAGAGTAATTAACCAAAACATTTTTAAACGTTTTGCTTGATTTCAACCCAATTTCATCATATTTCTGGTGATTAAGTCAAGAATATTGGTACTTTTTTTATCATGTAAGTATTTTCTTCAAAAATTTGGCTTCGTCTGGATAGCATTTTTTTTTAAACTTCTTAATTATTTATAGATCACAGACGAATCTTGTCCATAAATTCATTAACAAAATGAAATTCACCGATATGAATATTGATTGCATCGAAGCAGTGCTAGATTATTTAAAATTAGACGATTTAATGAATTCAGCTGACTCAAACAAAAGAATACAATTTGCGGCGAAGTTCGTTTTTGACCGAAGATACGCCAACACCCCATTCTATTTATTTGACGAAAAAAAGATAAGAGATATACGGATTATTCCACTGTATTCGATTTTGTTCATTATGGATTTAAGAATTGGTCTACAATTATTGCGATGTTTCGGATCTTTAATAAAGAGAATAACAACAATCGGCTAGAATCGAATAGAATCGATTGTAGTTAACTGGTTGAGCAGCTGACTATAGTCAACTATAGTCATATATAGTCGTTTTTAAATGCTTAATTTGGGACAGCCGGTTAACTATGATTGGTTTTCATACAAAATCGACATAGTCAGTCAGTCAGTCAGCCACTTTTTTTACACACGGGATAGAATCAAATTTTGGCAATCGACATGCAGCTCTTTATCTAAATAAATTCTGTGCTAACTCGATAATCGAAATCAAAATCAGTGATGAAATGAAATTTGATGAATTGAAAGAACCATTTACCAAAATTGAAAGTGTTCTATTGTTTAGTGATACACATTGTATATATCGAATACCCGAAAATAGTTGTTTCAACAGATTATTTCCAAAAATGAGACAACTAAGTGTAAATTCATCGTACTTTTCACCTGTAGGTCTTCATGCAGGTTTCATGAAACACTTTCCATTACTGGAACGATTTGAAATTACATATATGTCGATGGGGAAAGACTGTGCTGTCTGCAAAGAAAGCATCACAACATTTTTTCGTCTCAATCCACAATTAAAATCTTTAAACATATCGTTGAATGGATCGGAGATACATAGTTTCATGTTGGGGATAACTAATTTTAATGTCCTACAAAGTGTGCAAGAAAGCTTACAAAATCTGGAAGTTCTTAGTTTAAATGGAAAACTGAGCTTATATTTGCAAGAATTCAATTTCAAAACTATTCATTTAAAAAGTGTGAAATATTTGCGTTTCACTCCAAAATATACAGGACAGTTTGTTATACCATTCGAATTCGATCATCTTGAAAAGCTGAAATTTAATGCAAAATATTGCGATTTGATATATGAATTTGCTAAAAAAACATCCGACAATTAGGAAATTAAGTATACTCACCTATAATAATGAACATTTTGATGGGTTGTTCAAACTTGCGGAACTATTACCACTCATAACAGAACTGAATTTCGGCTTAAAAAATAAAAAAATATTTCTTAAGGATATAGATCTACTGATAAGTAAGTTTAAATCGTTGAAAGTCTTCACTTTTAGAGTTTTAAAAGACTATGGCTATACATTTGATGTTCCGGCAATAAGAAATCATCTCAAAGCTGAATGGATGGTTTCAATTGATACAGAAAACCAATCCTTTCAACATATACGAATGGTAAAGACCAAGTGCAACGTTGCCGGCAACGCCATTGTCGAGGTTGCGAGCGAATTGAAGAATGACATAAATTTGTATCGCTTTGCTGCCCAGCTCCAAATTAAGTCATATTTTTGAGTAAAGATGGTGGTAACAAACCTTATTCATTAGTATTTAATTTTAAATCTACTTTATGATTACAATAGTACTATTTAGAAAATAAAGTTGAATGTTATTATACGATGTATCAAGAGCAATTATTATTTCGTAGGCAATGAAAGGAGAGAAAATGATAATCTTTTAAGTGAAATGTAAACATGTCAGTTGAAAGCAGATAACAATTCGGGCAAATGTTATTGACTAAAGTATATTCGAAACATTTTTTCCTTCCTAATAAAATGAATTCATTTTTTTTATCTTTGAGGCAATACACATAAAAAATGATGTAATTCAAATAGTTTCATTAGCATCATTTATGTGCTACGGTGCAGATACTTTCTCAATTGTGACGCATAGTCTCTATCACTAAACCACGATTTGCTGGCTCATTCTGTTCATATCAATTTAAATTTTAACTCGTTTGAGTAAACTCATCACTCATCAGTGTGTCTTGTCATTCGATGTGTATCTGTTGTTTAATTCGGAGTTTATTTGCTGAAAGAGATGTCTGGTAAGTATTTTACTATAAAATTTGGTTTTGATTAGAATGCGATTAAATACATATATCATTTTGTATAAAATTGGGTGTATTTGACAAATATTTCGTTTGGTAGCTGTGTATTTTGGTGCTTTCATTCAAATCATGTGTTTATCAATCAACTGTTAATTAATGACATTTAACCTTCTACTGCGCATAAGAGATATTGAAATGAAGCGTACATATAATTTAATTTTGAGGCGTAGAAAGCAAAAAAGAGAAAAATCATCTATTCAACCAATTTCGTAGATACTTTTCTAAATTCTTTCAAATATGTTAAAAACTGGTGGAACAGGTACAAAACCTAATTTGTTATTTCATGTAGAATGATTGTGAAGCGAAAAGTACGTCGTAACTTTCATGAGTTTTTGAAAACAAGATAATAAATAAATCAGAGTGTTGGTGAGATGATGTACCGCATTTGCCTTTTTTGTTTTGAGTTTTCTAAATCGGTTATTGTTTCATCATTTGTAGATAATCAAACAAGAGTGATTGTTGGTACAGCAGTGGCTGTAGGCACTTTAACGGTAGCTGGTTTAGCTTACTTGTACAACTCAAAAAAAGCTGAAGAATCAATTCCAACCAAGTAAGAATTGATTTTTGATATGCTGTTCTATTAAATAGCCACAATAATTTTATTATCGAAATTTTAGATGGAAGAAAGTCGGTAAAATTATTGATTTAAATTGTTTCCCCGTAAAATCATGTGCGCCAATCAAATGTGATTCGTTCGATTGTCATTTGCTTGGGATCGAATACGAAAGTCTATTCGATCGCTGTTTCGTTATTTCACAAGGGAAAAAGCAAACTACCGCCCGAGCATACCCGAAGATGGTCTTGATTCAGCCAACAGTTGTTGACAATGAACTCCACCTGTCTGCGCCCGACATGCCAGACTTTGTGTTGAACTTGGATGAGCTTCGTACTGGGTCGATTAATGGCAAAGTTGAGTGCTGGTATTCAAAAGTAAAAGGCATAGATGCCGGAGATGACATAGCAAATTGGTTGTCTGAATTTATCGTTGGTAAGCCCGGTAAATTGCGATTGCTTTACTATCCGTATGCATACCCGACGAAAGGTGTTTCAAAGAACGATCGAGAATGGAAGGCATATCGAGGCGACGACGCTGGAACCTATCATGATAAAACCAGTTATATGTTGATCAATCAAGCGTCGATTGATGAATTAAATGCACATCTCGATCATGTTGTTAAGCCACTGCAATTCCGACCAAATTTAGTTATCAAAGGACCTGGCGCCTACGATGAAGACAACTGGAAGTGGATTAAAGTTGGCGAAAGTGTGGTTTATCGTGTGTTGAAACCATGCACAAGGTGAACTTTTTCAAGAAATGTAGTAACAATGCAATTCGAAGAACAATTCATATTTTTAATGCTGATCTACTTTCTTACATTCAACGTTGATTGAAAACTATGCGCTACATATTAACAATACATATTAAATATTGCGTACTTCATTTGTATCGATAACAAACATTTGATGTCCACTACCAACAAATACATAAAAAAAGACTGAAAACGTACACATTAAACTTATATACCCAGCGTTGAACACGCGAAAGTAACTCAACTACAAAATTTTAGCTTCGATTATTTTTAGAAAATCTAATCAATGTCGAAATCTTTTTTCATCAATCTTTTAGGTGTATCTTTACCAACATTAACCCAGAGACAGGAGTGCGACATCCGAAACGTGAACCACTCGAAACGTTGGTTAAAAATCGCAGTATAATACCAAATCAAACACCAGTTATGGGAACACAAATAGGTACTATACATTTACCGCAAACACCTATTTTCTTAAAAAAAATTCATAACCACAATATTTTTGTATCAATTAGGCATTCGTGTCACCGGCAGAATTTCAGTTGGCGACGATGTTTATATCAATGACGAGAGCGAAGCATGAAATATATTTTCTAGAATTTTAATTTAGGAAAGAAATTTATTTGAAGTGATCAATAAACCAATTTTTGCATTATTTGCAATTAACAAAAGAATAAGAAGACCATTGAAGTTTTTTTTTATTTTCAAAATGAATTTATTTAATGAAATGATTTTTAGTTACAAAAATTAGTCTTCGTCGTTATAAATTTACATTCAATGGACGGCTTTGTAAAACTTCAAATGAATGCGAATTGTTAATTCAGTTGTCGAAGCACATGACATAAACTGACATCAATGAAGTGATGATCATGAGAATAACAATAAGTGAACAACCATAAATGTTACAGAATCCGGCGCCACATGACTGAAGACATGAAAAGCAACTTCCTGAATTCACATCACCTATGTCCGACTGCCAATTTGCAGCATACGATCCAGCTCCGACACCACCACTTCTAAATCCCACTATTTTCAGCAGTATGATGGCCACAATAAGAATAAGCAAAGCACATCCAAACATCATTGCAATTGATTTCGTAATGTCGCCAACTGAATCAATGTATGGTGTCATTTTACTTGCATCGCACCTATTCCAAATATCTGTACCGTTGCTGTACACTGTTTCCATGGTGTCCATTGCGTCCGACGAATAATTTTTCAAGTTGTCAATTGCTTCCGAAGTGTAATTTGGCAGATTTTTCACGGCCACCGAAGTATAATTTTCTATATTGTCAACTGAATTGGATGCGAAATCTTTTACTTTATCCAAAAAATTAGACATTTTTTTATATCTTGGAAATTTTTCAACAATAAATCAATAAAATTTAATGTGTAAAGTGAAAATTTTCTGCACGTTAGATATATTTATGGTATTTTTTCAGGTTATTTTATCCCAAAAGAACTGAGCAAACGTCTGAACAGCTAGAATATTGACTGTTGAGTGGTGAAAGCTGAATAATGCTGCACATTATGCTTGACACATGCACCATCGACTACTTTTGCGTGAATATGCGTGACATACTAAATGCGTGACATACTAAATGCGTGACTTTATGTTATTCCTTTTCATCACAAATGAATTCCATATTCAGTACTTAAGTAGACTTGTCACAAAATGCGTTTTAGAAAAACGAAGAAAACGATAAAAAAATTAATATTTCCATGCAGAATATTTATGCAGTGTAAATATTGTGATTGCAATGCCAAATACATTAAGTTGTGATACGTACCATATGATGATCCGATTAGCACCGTTAGTTTGTCCATAAAATAAAATATCAATGTTATTGTAATTCAAAAATAGTATTAATTTTTATTATAATTAAACCTCTTTCTTATAAACATATGTGTTTTTTTCATTACCATCAACATTTTCCCGATCTATAGTATAAATCGTTCAAATTCGACTATATTTGCGTTCGAATGTTCAGATCTGATCAAAAGATAACACAAATTCGAATCTATCAGCCGATTTACATCACAATTTTGAGTTTCACAAAGTCTATTGGAGATAATTAATTACTTTTCCCTTCCAAATGAACAAAATAAATTTGCCAGTTTCAGCACATCGTTCCGCTACGATAATCTAAAATCTCTTGCCACATTTTCTCTCATTTTTTTTTTTTTTTGAATAACATAATACAAAACTTAATTACAACTGGTTTGCAGTAAATATATAGAAAACAAACAGAAAAAAAAAAACAAAATCTTTGAAAAATATTTAGGAAAATGGTTGTAACTATGCAGAATAGGTCAAGCTGCTGAATTGCAGCGATTATTCTGATTTGCATTCATCGCACTTTGATTTCTGTTTTGCGTATCGTCTGCCAAATATCATTTTCATTTTTTGTGTATACATTCTTGCCATAATAAGCCGCCGCACGACATGCTCACAATTACGTATATGATGAATAGAACTACAGCGCCAATGATAACATACATTTTAATATTGTTCCAAAACATGGCTCGCGCGAGATTTCGAGATGTTTTTCGAAATGAAACTGATGTATCACGTAAATTCTCCGTTTTATTGACCAGCAACTCCAAACGTTCGCCACGTGCCGTCACATTTTCTAGCAATGGAAGAAAAAAATGAAATACTTGATACTATGAACTTGTGACAAAAACATGCAACATGATATATTGTGCGATCATATCACCGTAATTTACCTATATTTTTTACCATAATATCCTTAAGTTCGTCTATTTGACCATGTACTCGAGAGATGGCATCAAATTCATTCGATTCACTATAGTGTTTCATTTCGTAGGCGAGAATTGGTGAAAATTCCGTATTCATGGCATATGAAATAGCCGTAGCCGCTTGTAGACCATATTGCATCAGGAATCGTCTTTTGATTTCGTTGAGAAACATGAATGCCCGGGCTCTTTCGAATTCATCGTCTGTGATGCACATGTATATGATTCGATCTTCGTTTATAAAATGAATCAAATAATTTCCGTGTGCATAGGTTAATTTGTGATTGTGTGTGGGTATATTCTTGATTATTTGTTCGGTGACTTCGGCGAAGTTACCAACACATTCTGCATTTTTTGCCAACACAGTCGAACCACGCGATATTACACTATATAAAATCGGCATTTTGATGTTACAATCGGTTTTCTACACGGAGCAATGAAGCACTGGAAGTGAAATAAAATAAATAAATTACAAAAAAATTGAGAAATAATTTTACTATTGTAGAACAAATGAATTGCACGTTATATGTAAAAATAAAGTCTGTTTTTGAAGCGCAAAAACAACAGCCAAACTGAAATCCGATATTTTGTGGTGTGAAATAGCGATAAAGAATAATTATATGGAAACTATTCATGTATTGTGAGTTTATAGATAACAATAATACAATGAGACCGCACAATACATTAAAGTACCCAGTTGAAATGTGAGTCATACGACTTAATTGCTAGAATGAGCATAAAGTACATTTACTTACAAAAACAACAACATAAAATCAACTTAAATTATAATATTTGAATTTTATGCATACCTTTTTATCTCTTTTGAAAGCTGAATGCTTAGATCCAAAACTTCATCAATAAAATAATGAATTCTTCAGAATATTTAACGCCTGTCACTGTAATTTGAGCCCGCAGCGCATTTGCCAATTGAAGTGAATATTTGTGTAGTACTATACAATGATTTGTTGGTATTACGTGCAATCTGTCATACAACGCACTTTCTTTACAATATTCACAATATATTCTTATTACTTAGATAGCACCATATTTTGACTGTCGCATATACATTCCTTTGTTATTATGTTGTTGTACACTTATAGCTTCAATATATGGTTTTGTTTGAATTTTCTCGATTGATTGGCTAGTTTTTGTTTTCAATTTACATAGAATATAAAACAACAGCAGTTAAATGAATCGTATTGACTCAATTCTTTGTAATGCTCAATTTTATCACTTGTTTACTTTTTTCCAGTGCGGAATTTTTGCTTATAATTTCATTGTTTTTCTTGAATGATTGCTCGCACGTCACATCGCATTGAAAAATAACCAAATTCAACCATTGAACTGAAATTACGACAACACCGAAGATTGAATTTAGTGATTTAAAGTATACCAAATGGTATTGTTTAAACGATTTTATCAAGAATCGTTAAAATTTTTAATTAAAAATTATTTCGTTATATAATTTCTGTACATTTTAAATAAATTTCACATTTTTTTTCCAATATTTTGTCGATATTTGATTAAAAAGCATTAATTTCGCCGCATTATTTCACTATTAGATGGCGTTCAACGATCAATTAACAGGCGAAGTAGTGAATACAAAGAATTATCACGGTTTCGGCTATTTCACAACAATTTTGACAGATTGTGCCAACTATCACTAGTCTCTTTTATTCATGTGGCACACACGACGAATTGAATTGGCTAAATAAAGAAAATTTGTGAAATTCATTCGAAATCGTCGGATAATTTCAATTCAATCGTTCGTTTTTTATTCATAAAATTTCATCGCTTACGCTGTATAGATTTAGTATAAGATAGTGAATTTAGTTTAAGCAGCAAAATATAAAAAATGGTTTTAGCTGATTTGGGTCGCAAAATTACGAATGCTTTGCATTCACTTGGCAGAGCAACTGTTATTAACGAAGATGTAAGTTGGTGTTTATGTAAACAAAATTCGATTGTATTTTTGTTAAATAAATACCATGTGCGAAAAGAAATACATACATTTTTTAACGGAGAACATTTATTTTTAGGTGCTGAATTCAATGCTGAAAGAAATCTGCGCTGCATTGCTTGAAGCAGATGTAAATATTCGATTGGTGAAACAATTGCGTGAAAATGTGAAATCGGTCATTGATTTTGAAGATATGGCTGGCGGTTTGAACAAACGGCGTATGATTCAATCGGCTGTTTTCAAAGAACTGGTGAAACTTGTCGATCCAGGCGTTAAACCGTATCAACCAGTTAAAGGAAGACCAAATATCATCATGTTTGTCGGATTGCAGGTAAATTCATGGCAATGGCTATATCAAGACGAGTAGATTTCACCAGAAAATAAGTGTGCGTTAATGCACAACCAATACATGACTTGCACATTTATTCGGTCCTTGGAAATGAAGACACTCGTTCAACATAGCAAACGTAGATTGCTATGTTTGTGATAGTTTTTCTGACAAATGCTTCGAGTAAAATGGCGGGGCTTCAAACGCAGTAGTCCGCTATTTCTAAGGATTTCACTTATTTTTCGGTGAAACCGATCAGCAATTCGCGATTGAAAAAGTATACAGTTGAAAATCTTAATAATTAAATCAACATATTTTTTCTCAATTCCAGGGTTCGGGTAAAACGACGACTTGTACAAAACTGGCGTATCACTATCAAAAGAAGAATTGGAAATCGTGTTTGGTGTGCGCTGATACATTCCGTGCCGGTGCCTACGATCAAATCAAACAGAATGCAACGAAGGCAAGAATACCGTTTTATGGTAGCTACACAGAAGTCGATCCCGTTATCATTGCCCAGGATGGTGTTGATATGTTCAAAAAAGAAGGTTTCGAAATGATTATTGTGGATACAAGCGGTCGTCACAAGCAAGAAGAATCATTGTTCGAAGAAATGTTGGCCGTTGCAACTGCCGTTCAGCCAGATAACATCATTTTCGTCATGGACGCCACAATCGGTCAGGCTTGTGAAATTCAAGCACGTGCATTCAAAGAGAAAGTTGACATCGGTTCCGTTATTATCACAAAATTAGACGGTCATGCCAAGGGTGGTGGTGCACTTTCAGCGTAAGTTTGTTGTAAAATGTGTAGTAGTGGGCCTTGGAAATAATAAACTGTTATGCTTCTGATAGTTTCTCTGGTAACCGCTATATAGTAAATGGTGGCGCTGTTGCTTGTTATTTCTAAGGATTACGAAATAGAAACGTTTTTCCAATTTTATTCAAACAAAAAACTGCAATTAATTTTGTAAATTTTTTTCTTTTTCAGTGTGGCAGCCACAAAAAGTCCAATCATTTTCATTGGAACCGGTGAGCATATTGATGATTTAGAACCATTCAAAACGAAACCGTTCATCAGTAAATTGCTTGGCATGGGTGACATTGAAGGACTTATCGATAAAGTCAATGAATTAAAATTGGATGACAACGAAGAATTACTCGAAAAAATCAAACACGGTCAATTCACAATTCGCGATATGTACGAACAATTTCAAAATATTATGAAAATGGGTCCATTTTCACAAATCATGGGAATGATACCTGGATTTTCACAAGATTTCATGACAAAAGGTGGCGAAAAAGAATCAATGGCTCGCATTAAACGTTTGATGACGATGATGGATAGTATGTCAGATGGTGAATTGGACAATCGTGATGGTGCAAAATTATTTAGTAAAACGCCGAGTCGTGGGGCGCGTGTTGCTCAAGGATCTGGTGTAACTGAGGCCGAAGTAAAAGAATTGATTTCACAGTACACAAAATTTGCAGCTGTTGTTAAGAAAATGGGTGGCATCAAGGGATTATTCAAAGGTGGCGATATGTCAAAGAACGTGAATCCAGCGCAAATGGCAAAATTGAACCAACAAATGGCCAAAATGATCGATCCGAGAATGTTACAACAAATGGGCGGCATGAATGGTTTGAATTCAATGTTGAGACAATTGCAACAAGGAGCTGCTGGAGCGGCTGGTGGTTTGGACAGTTTGATGGGTGGATTAGGATTGGGCGGTGGCAGACATTAGTTTAAACAATATCCATGTTTTATTTTCTATTTTTTTCCGTTTACGTTTAAATAACAATAAAAAAAACATAAAGTATTCGAATAAAAAATTAATGCATAGTCTATTCTTCTTGTTCACTTTGTGATATAACATAGTTTGATGTCTTGAAAATGGCTTGAAATTACTGCTTGAGCATCTCAAGCGCCTTTGAATGAATTTTTTCTAGCGAAGAACATTGATGGCGCGTAATAAGAAATTCTCGAGACACTGGATCCATTTGCCGCGAGCTATTGTTCATCACTTCAATTATGTTTAATTCGGATGCGCCCGCCAGAAAAAAACTCATCGACAAACTTTTTCGACATTGTACGTACGACCGTCAATGTGATGAAGACAATTTATTGCAAATTTCAATGGTAATAAGCTTTTTTTTTTGTTCAACATAAGAACACGTTTCGTTTTATCATCACGTTCCCTTTTTTCTCGTCATCATGAATGCTGTTTGTTCTACACATATTTGGATAGAAGCGATTCATTACAGAAAACGTAAAAGAGAAACAGAATACACTTGATGATTTTTTTTCGCAGACCTTCTTAAAATAATTGCGAATCTCCATACAGCGACTTTGTTTATTTGGGAAAGGGTATGTGTATATTTTTCATATGCACAAAGAAGTGTGTGACATTGTTCAGTTGATATTTATGCAACAAGAAAAAATGAACTACTAGGCTAGCAAGATATTCATATAATTTTTGCAATAAAACAATAACAAATCCATGAAACCATTTTTTTATTATAAATTATTTTTCATGACGTTTTTATCAACCACTTGAAAGCATACTTGATTTGATGAGTAGGTAGGCGAAGAAATGCTATGACGATGTTTGTGAAGAAGCCATAGCATGGTAAATGAATGGAATGACATGGGATAACATCCATCTATTTGCCATTTGATTCAGTTGCATTAATTGAATAACCAGATGTACTGTCAGAGAGAAAGAGAGTCTAAATGTCGGGAGACAACTCGCATCATCGTACATTAAATCACTTTCAAACAGAGTCTTTCAAACTGCTCATAGCCATTCAGCGATATGGTTTATGTTGTATCTCCCAATGGTTCAGTCGTAGCATAGTGCGCGATAAATACAAGCATATTCATTGCCCAACGTAAGTAATGTCTGATCGCACGGACTTGCGTATATTTTCCCGTTATCATTCGGGGTATTCTCTATTGTGATTGCGGGTGTGTATGCGTTCATAGCGTTGAGACTCCCAAGAGTTTTTGTGCGGGTGTATGTATGCTCTGCGTATGTATATGTATTGTGCATAACCGTAAAAATGCAACACATATACCACACAACGTCGACAGTAATACAATACATCGACACATTGTTCGTATAAATATATCGTTCGTATCCATCCTGAACGAAAGAGAGAGCGTAAAAATTCAGAGTAAAATATGGCATCATCGTTGTTTGTGTAGCGGCAACTGAATTCAGAACCATTTATTCAGACGAAAAGTGTGGTCGTGCGATAAAGGATCAGCAAGAGAAGAAGAGAAAAAGACGACGTTGAAGTGAACGGAACACCTTGATTACGGACAACGACATCAAACGATTCATTTTTCCGGGTTGTCGTGCGATTTTCGAACTTAGGAAGCAATTTTCTGCAAGTGCATAAACAATAAAAAAAAGAACTCACAGTGCTTGATTTGATGCTTTGTTTTAATTGAGTTGTGTGTGGGCGTGTGTTTACGTTTTCTGTTAACCACAACTATATAGTCAAATGAATAGTTGTGCCTGCAGGAACTGTTGATTAAGCTCATATATATATTTTTCCTTCTTCGTTTAAAGTACAAAACTTTTTCAAACCCTCAAGGGTATTTATAGTTGCATTTCGATCGTGATGCCTGTTTTTCACAAATCATTGTTACAAAAAAAGTTGATGAAAGAACTATTTAGCTATTGAATTTGCATGGTCATTTGCCATTGAAGCTGTGAACAAAAAAATATCCGGCGACATAGTGGTGGAAAAAAGTTCTGCACAGCAGCAAGAAAAAAAAAGTAAACCAGATACGATTTTTTAGCTTTGAAATGTACTTAAATTGAACAAAGTGAATATCGATCGATGAAAGTTTAATTGCGACAACCGATAATTCACGCGGATAAATCATTGAGTGTCATCAAGTGATTTGGATACTGATAAAATTTAAGATAAGAGGTTCTCATTGAAATTCATTAAGATTGATTGAAATGATTTGAAAATATATGAGAATCACGTTGATTTGATTACCGTATATCTCATTGCCTGGATCATGATGATGACGATGACTATGAGTGCACATGACCGAGTTCTATCTACGCTAATCGGCTGAAATGTGTTTGCATTAACGATTTAGGCAACTAAAATGATTAACATTGCTGCTTGTACTCGGTCAATCATTTCATTCAATGCGGCTCGCAAATAAAGTTCACAGACAAATGCAAAAAAAAATCGTACGAAACAAGTCAAAAACAATTGATACAAATGATTTTGCTCTCTAGCATATGTGTGATTTTTTTTTAAAAGTTCTGATCAATGTTAAGTGAGCAAACACAGATGATTGAGAGGAAGAGAAAAAGTCAATCCACACACATACACATACACAAATATACACTCGTTAAAACGCGTTCACGGTTTTAAAATGCGACCAATATTAATAATGATAACAACAACAGCGACAACATATAAACGGCTTTTGTATACTAAAACTTATTTCTAAGTGAATGGTTTTGAGTGCGCTTCAATGCGATGGTGCGATGGCCACTGATTAACCGTAATCAGCAAATTGTGAAAAATTAGGGGAAATAATACATAGTTGAACTAACTTCCGTCGGTTGTGAAGCGGAATAAAAAAAAAATTATAACGAATTAGCATTACGATAGAATTGGAAAAAGTTATTGAACAGCGACAGTGCCATTCAATCTATAGATTGTGATTCGGTCCAGTTGGACAAAATCAGTTGCTTTGCTACCATAGTCCAGGCACCGTGTCTGAACATGAAACGATAAAACCCAAAATAATCAAGTTCATAAATTTGTATCCACATAAAATTTTAATCGTAGTGTACCACATGAATTCGAATCACGATAAAATGCTGTTCACGCAACAGCCGACAAACAATAATAATACATTTTCAATGTGATTTAGTAAAGAAATTGTGATTTAAATAAACATTTTCTTAGCATTTGTATTGCCGTCCGCCTTTTCTCTTTCCCCCTTTCTCTGTCGCGTTATAAGTGTGTTTAAACTCGTGCCATCAAAACACTCACACCAAACCATCGCATTCGATCTAAATGGGATTCGAAAATCGATAAATTCATCGAAAGTACTTTCGAACCGAGAAGAGTGAGCAAGTGAGTGAGAAGTGAGCTTTGGAGTTCGAAAACCAAGTGTCCCTTTTGTGAATCGGTCAAATAAAAAATTAATCGAGCGAAACGGCAAGCGGTTAAGTTAGTGCGTGTATGTGTGCATGTGTGCGTGAGAGTTTCATATTCAAAATAAAATTTATAGAAATCGTGTTTGCAAGAGTTTCTATTTGTGTGCTTCGCCTAATTTAAAACATGGATAGTTCACCAGATTTATCGTTGAAGCTGCGTCGAGGTTCAAATGATTCACGAGATTCATACTATATGGATTTCGCACAGGGGATCGATTCAGATATTGAAGAAGTCGCAACAGTTACTGCCGCACCTGGAAATGTGGAAATTACAAGTGATTCAAGCGATTCACAAGCACTTGTCGTGCTACCGGTGCCGGCAACAGATCTTAGCGAGAGTGTTAATAAAATCGAACTGGAGTCAGTTGATGAACCCCTGCCACCGGCACCACCAACACCTCCACCTGAATTAGAATCAATACCATCATCAATGATGTCAAGTATTCCCACAAGCATTTTACCTCCAACAAATTTAACCAATTTAACGGACACAAGTACGACTGATGAAGAGGACATTTCGCAAATAACACCATTGCCAATGCCCATTTTACCATCGCTCAAAACTGATACACTACAAATGCTGCCAACCAAAATACCATTGGTCGATGACGATGAAGGGTAAAAAAATACATTCTTATTCATGAACTAATTGAATTGCAAATATGATCGCACCTCACAACGTACAATAAATGTCGTAACACAAATCAACACATGCACACGGAGCAAGGGACATTTTCATTTTCTTCATATTACACTCAAGTTGCATTTACTATTATAGCTTCTGCCAGCTACCTCTGTTGCTATTGCTGGTTTTTTTAACCCAAAGAACAGGTTATATTTACGATGCATTGTCAAATAAAAAACTATACAAGTAAACACAATATGTTTGAATGAAAAATCAAGCAATGAAAGTGTGATATTTATTCAGTGACGTAAAAAACCATTTTATTCAATGTTTACAAGGGTTACTGCTCTGCCATTTCTACACTCTGTAAATTGAATGCCAGCTCATTGAAGCAATGCACAAAAGTAAAACCCTACTAACGTTAATGGCTTTTCTCAAGAAGTCTCTGATTCGAAGTGAACGCTGTTTTGTGTTGATTTTCTCTTTTTCATTCCTTGTTTGTTGTTGACGTTTAATTTCCCGGAGTCAGTATGGAATTATGGCCATTTGAAATGGTCCAAAAAATGATAAAGATCTCGATTCCCTTTTGTTCATAGTAAAATTTATGCTCTAATTATCGTTTAGGCAGTGCACAGTCGTATTAAAAACAATAAAAAAAACCCAGAGAGAATAGTAAAAGTCGAAAACCACCCTACCGAGTACAAACAACTTGAATAATTCAGGAACATTTCTTGAAAATACCATAATTTCTCGCAAAAGTGTGTTGAGAGTAAGAGTTTGAGCGAAAGATGTATGTGTAACAAGTAGCAAAAACGGCGCCGAAGAATTTTCTCATTTCAAATTGCGATATATATATATATATTTCATCAGCTCACCCCAAAAATTGCAAATTGCTTGAATTGTTCGATGTGATGTGGTTGAATATGTTTGCGTATGAAAAGCAATGTGAAAACACAAAAGTAAAAAAAAAAGAATGAACAAAAAGAAATCAGCTTTTTGTAAGGATTTTCTCACTTCGGTATCGAATCAAAAATCCACTAGGCGAACTCTATTTAAATTGCTGTGGAAAAAAAATACCAAAACGACACATAAGACTATAACGTAAAAACTGGAGACGGTATGCGAAGCATTATACACACATGTTGTCAATGCGAGTTTCGTCCCCACACCAAAACAAGTTTCACTTCTGAATGCAAAAGAAAAACTTCTCTCACTCTCTCCAATTCCAGCGATTGGCCAAAGGGGGAGAGAATGAATAACATCTAACAAACAAAAAGACATGCGAGAAAAATTCCTTTCATTGGTTATAAATGGAAAACGCAATAAAAAAAAGAAAAATTATACGGCGCAATATGTAGGTCGATAACCTCCTTGTTTCTTTTCTTTTGTTTGATACTGCACAAACAGACAGCAGAAATAGTGAATGATGAAATATTGCGTGCACTTTTGTCAAACAATCGTTCGCCACTTCGAAATGCGAACAACCATAATACACCACTATGTGCCAATACAATAATAATGCGGCACAAAATATGTATACACGTATCCATAAGCTTGTAAATTCTCTTTGAGTTATTGTAATATTTATTTGCCGAATGCATTCACATAGTCTTCATGTTTGCCGATTTGAATGCCAATCGACGGAAGCAATTTTAACAAAATGTCAAATGTTCGTAATATGTGTTATGGTCTTTGTTCAGGGTAATATCAGTCAGAAATATACAAGTGACTCAATATATACCACACTAGATACCACATATACAATTATATGGATTGGAATAACACCGTGCATGCAAAACAAAGGGACTGTATGATTTTTCATTTATATTGTTCGCATTGTCACCATGACAAATGCGAATGGATATTTAATCGGGTTAGATTATTGGTTCACTCTGCAATTTATATATATATGCGATTCCTTCCACGCCATGCAACAGCGGAAAGCCTAGCAAGCACACACACATAACTGATTGCATGATTTTGCGGCGAAATATGAAATGGAAGGGAAAAAAATGCCGAATTGTCTTATAATATGTGTGTATGGATTAGTTTTGTTTGGTTTCAAACGCATAAAACACTGATTCCCATTTCCTTTTTCAGTGCACAAAGTTTCCTTTGTGTTTGCACGACTCCTCTGACGATATTCGAGAAGACTTAAATGCCATTTTTGTTCTAATGCGCTTTGTGATTTATTGCCATAAGATTTACTAAAGAAGCTCGTCTTTGTCGCGGCAAGAAGAACATTGGCATTTTTATAAATGTTCATACTTTAATTTAAAAGAAAAACAAATGATTGTATGAATGAATAAATTCGCCTGAAAAAAAAAAGATTATTCTAAGTGCGTTGCACGTAGGTCAAGTCATAAAAAACTCAAATCAAACAGGAAACACCAATCAACATCAATGTTTAATTTGCAATGAATAAAAATAAACTATGCCAACCATCACGTTTACATCGTAAACATTTCGCATAGTATGCGGAGCCAAAAATAGTTTCAGCTTGTGATGGATACAAGAGAAAGCGAAAAAGAAAGAAAAAAACGGCGCCGATTTGTCTTTTTCGATCAAAAAGTTTCGTCTGCGCTCTATCTATTTGATGAAGAGATGCCTCAAGCAAATCCCTTTCAAAACCATAAATCATTGCGAAATATCACCGAAATTACAACGCAATTGCATGTGTGTGTGCTAAAACAAATAGATGTCTTGAGCAAATATCTCGCTCTGATTACTCAATCAAATCAACAATCTATTCTAGTGAAATTGCACTCAAACAAAAGACATCGCACATCTATCTATATATCGTGGAATGTAAAGGAAATTTGAAACAGAGCTAGTTACTAAAATGATTTAACACCACGAACACAATAAGATATTGTTGAAGCTAACAACAATTGATCCACTTTAAAAGCTTTTCATACACATCAATGAATTTGTGCTTGTTGTATCAGTTAACAACTCAATCGAACAACACAAAAGCCAAATACAACAAGTGCAAATGTCTGTTCATTCATTTCAATTGGATCAGTCACACCGAATCGGCCAAATCTTATTCGCACATCACAGTCTGTCTCTCGTCGTTCGTTTAATGCTTCTCATGCGAGAACGTTTTTCCATTCTGCGATTTAATATCATTGAAAAGGCAATGACAGACGGAACGTCGCGAGATAAAACCATCGAAAACGAAAGTGCTACTCGCACTTTAAATAAAAAGTAAAACACAATTTTTTTTTGTTTTGGTTTTTCTTTCTTCACTAAAGTGTGTGTTTTCAATCGATTTTCCGTATTCCATTTGATTTTTCAATGCAATTTATTTACATCGGGATATTTATCTTGGTATTTTCAGTGCTTTAATGGAAATTCAACCGCCACCAATAAAAATGCCATCATCACCAACTCTATCAACTACAGCGGTCGTTTCACCTGAAACAATGTCGTCGCATCATTCGTCGCCAGCAAAAACATCGCGAATTTGCTATCAACCGCCACCACATCACCTGCAACATCAAGTGATTGACGAGACAATTGGCTCAAAAATTCCATTATCAATTTCAACTCATCATCAATTGGCTGCGATTGGTACACCCGTCGATCACCCACACTCTTCAATCAGCGGCATTTCTGGAATGCACAGCGATGTAAATGAAAAATCTAAATGCTTTATTCTCTTTTTTTCCTCTAAAAATGTCTTTTTTCATTGTACTTTCGAATTTGAATGGTGGTATACAGTATGGTTTGGATCGTCAGCAAGTGTGTCAAAGTTCAGTAACAACACAAACATCACCGACAGCTGCTCATCATTTGGCATTGTTATATCATTCATCGCATCACCACCATCATCATCATTCGGTGCATCCTCAATTGCCTGCTAGTATACGTCGACCATCATCGCGTTTGCCACCTGCGGTCTATACACGGCCACCAGAAATTAAAGCGTTAGTTTGTTCAAATTATGCTTTATTGCTTTTTTATTGCAATCAAATTGTGTGCATATTTCATTCAATTACAACACATTATCTCTCTTTCTCGCCTCACCATTCAGATATCAAATGTTTGCAACGACACTGTCAGCTCTTTACGGGAAGTTAATCGTTGTCATGGGCATCGCATTTCCAATGGCCGAAGTCATTTCCAGTTATATTCCACCATCATTTTATGAGGTATTCAATGAATTTATTTCGCCAAAAAAATGCGAAAGTTTCGTTTTAATGGTCTTTTGACTTTCTTTGATTTTCAGGGCTTCTACTTGTATTTATACGTAGGCAGTATGTTATTTTTATTTTTTATGTATGCAACAATCATTTGGGGACGACCAAAATCTATTAAAGTAAAAAGTATGAACACCATTTTTACTTGAATTTTTGAACAGTGTTATTGATTTTATTTTAATTTTGTATTTTAGGAGAAGAAAAACGTGACTCAGAAAGTGTTTCGAGCGAATTGCACAGTTCAGATGAATCAGATACTGAAAGTGGATCATCCCATAACCATAGAAAAGCAAAACGAAATGTCATTCTTTCGCCCAGACGACCATCTGTGCTAGCCGGAATTGGTCGCCACCACTATGGTAGCTTCTATTTACGAATGGGAGCAGTTGGTTAGTCAATGTTTTTATTTAACAATGCAATTTCATAAAGCAGTGCGATTAATATCAATTTTCATTGTTTTTTTGACAGCGTTTGGCATTGGCAGCATGATCTATTCGGGCTTGGAGTTTGGCCAATATTTTGAACTTGAACGTAACACCAAATGTCATAATTTTTTGCTTGCATTGACACCAGCAACACGAATGGCATTCATTTTTATTCAAATGTATTTCATTTTCTTAAACAACGAGGTATTTTATACAATTTGTTTATGAATTTGAAGAAATAAAAAATGCTTGCTGAATGAAATTTTTTCAATTTCAGCAAATGAAAGTTTATCGACATAAAATTATTGCGCGATTCGGTTTGATGCACATGATTGGCACCAATTTATCCGTTTGGCTTAGCGTTTTAATTCAAGAAACCAAACATGAAATCCTTACCTTCTACGATCCCGAAAATCGAACATTACGTATATCACATCGAATAGGTACTTGCATTATCAATTTAAGTCTCCTCTTGATTTTTCTTGTTCTCATTCTATATGTCATTTCAATTTTTTCAGGCAATAAATTAGGTCTACATTTGGGACATCAATTAGGCCATTCAATTAACGATCATTCACTGCACGATATGACAACAGCTCATCTTCGTATACCACGCGGTTTGAAGGGGCCGCATCACATTTTCGAATGTCGAAGAACAAATATTATTGGAACATTGGTTCAAGATGCTTCTCCGTACGTTTTGAGCGTCCATTATCTTGACAACAAGATCTAATTCGATATATATTCATTTCATTAGGTTTCTTTTCCCGTGCACAATCGAATATTCATTGATTTGTGCAGCCATTTTGTATGTAATGTGGCGCGGAATATGTCGACCACAGCCCGAGCCAGATGTTCGAGTTACCGAAGGTCTTTCGCCATGTAAACGCTCACCACATCATTATTCAGTCGATTGTGCTCGTGCACACAAGGGCTTATTCATTGGCATTTTGATTCTAGTTTTGACGATCATTTCTTTGATTCTTTTCTTTGTTTTAATTTCGCGACCTGAATTCGTTCAAGTTGCGGTGACTGAAGTTACCATTTGTGAATTAACACTCTATGGAACGGCAACATTGGCAACGTTAATTGGCATGTTTCAAATAAGGCATTTGCAATACGATTCATTGAGACACTTTACATTGGATGACATTCTCTTAGTTGGAGGTAAATTGAGAAAAATTTCAAAAGACTTCATTTTTCCGTTTAAACATGTTTGATAATAATTTGCATGGTTTTTGCGAATTCACAGGACAAACGGGCTTATTCTTATACAGCATGTAAGTTCAAACACACAAATTACTAAAACAAAAATTGCAATAAAAAAACTAATTCCTAATCCGTTTGATTCGATTAGATTTTCAGTGATTGGTGGTCATTTTACGATGCGAAAAGAAAATACAATTCTCGTACTTATCACGTCGCTTGCATCAATTGTTCAAACGGCTTGTCAAACGATGTTCATTTTGGATGCAAGTCGACGAAATGCCGCAACCGCCGAACATATGCGCAAGAAGCCTGGTCGTGAGATCGTGACATTTTTACTCGTGGCAAACTTAGCGATGTGGGCGATCAGTACATTGGAAAAATCTCGTGCAGAAAGCCACCCGATACAATTGAATTTCTATGGTCTATGGGCTTGGACGATAATCACTCATGTACGTTTTAAATTTGAGCGTTTAGTATTTTGGCAAAAACAGTTAATTTTTTCTATTCATTTCACTAGGTTTCGATGCCGTTGGCCATATTCTATCGATTCCATTCGACAGTTTGCTTATGTGAAATCTGGAAGCGTGCATATAAAATGAAGCCAACTTATATGTGAGTAAAGACGGCACATTGTTACGTTGTGTATAATGCAGGCACGACAACAACCACAACGAAAACGACAAGAAATTGAAATCATCACCGTTAACGAACGAAATCGATAAATTTTCAATGATTTAGCGCGATTCGATTTTTTATTCATGTTTAAATTGTTGCCAAATTTCATTTTTTTCTTTTTTCATTTTAACATATTTTATGTGGTTGAGTTATTGCAAATTACTGTTAAGTGTTGAAGAGTCTCCATGCTAATTTGCTTTCATTCTTTCGTCGAATGGCATTGATTTTTAAGCTGTTTTAAGAATGATAAAGGAATTAAAATTACGCATAAAATATTTATATAAATGTAGTAAGCTAATACTCAGATATCAAAGTGATTTCTTTTCTCCGAAACCAATATCAAATCCTGTTTACATCCATGTATACCGTGTCATTTCACTCATCAATCACTTATATATTCATCGACATTTTTATTAAAACCATATATTGCTCAATAATAACGGATCAAGAACATGAACTCTTGGGAACAAACAAAAAACCACAAATCTCAACTTATATATTTATGAAATATATGTATCGGAATGTAGGCCAGTTAGGATTTACAAACTTTTGGCACATAAACCACCGATATTACACAATAACTCATTAGAGGCCAATAAAAAAGAAGACTTGACATTATAAAATACAATCATTTAAAGTTTAGAAGCAAAACAAATACAAAATTATGAACCATAAGATGCTTTTTTATAATTGGACATATTACCATTTTTTTTATCAAGCCAAATTTTTAATTGATTGGAAAACGTCGCTGAAAACAGTGAAGAAAAAGTAAAGAATTAATTCGGATCAATGTATCGTGGTCAAGGCGGTCCACAAATAGTGGTCAAGCCGCAATACATTTTGTCAGACTTGAGACTTATATTTTGAGTCTTTTAACGATTGAATTGATATGTCATTTAAAACATTTTTATGTATTTTTCATTGTATAAATATTTAATTGAAATAAACTAAAAACACGAACACATTTCATTAGTTTTATTTGGTAACATTGGCGGATGGAAAAAAGGATGACACTCGATAAAAAGTGAAGTTATTGCTGAACAAAATGTGTTTTTTATCAAGATCAGAAGAAGACATGCTGATTTCACCATTTACAAAGAAATATTGTATTTCGCCAAAGAATAGCTATTAAAAGCATGTATGATGTCAATATTTATTCAGGTTTACAGGTTACTTCAAAATTGAAAGGATTTCATTAAAATTATGTTTACGAAAAATGACACAAATTGCTTTTTTATTAATTATATTAATAACTATAATTACAATTTCTGTATGGTATCCATGCGCATATTGGTTTTCAGTTGAACTTCAAATTAATGGACATATATCAGCATAATAGCAATCATCAACAATGTAAGGTTACTACAGTATCCGTTATTACAATAAAATTCCATTAAGCGTATTCTCTGTTCCGTTCATACATATCTGTTGCTTTGCTAAAGTTACCGACAATACTGCAAAATGAGCGCACACAACCGCAGCGACCAAACATAACTATAGTAGCGATTTTGAAATTCAATACGACAAGTGTAATATGTATACTTTATCATCAGTGTTTTGCTAAAAAAACAAGTCGCATAATAGTAATACCTCATAAATAATCCCTCGGAAACATAAAACAAACACCGTCGTATTGCGACTGTACAGAATGGTGTGGAAGAGTGAAGTTTGCGTGAGTGACGACTATCAGACGGTGATTCAATTAGCATTGATCGATTTTAAATTCCATGACGTAGGGAAACCACTGGGGTCGACTGTTACTAATCCAATATGCCAGACACAAATGTACTGTAACATAGTGGCAGTTTATGCTGTTAAAAAAGGGGTTGAAAAAGGATTTTCCATGTGATGCAACCATGCGTAAATCCAAATCTGTATTATTTTCAACCAATTTTTTTTTTTTGTAAAAAAAGCAATGCTATAAATATTGACCAAAAATTGAGCAGATATATGAAGCACTAAATTTGATATGAACCGTATTCAAAACATTCAAGGTAAATGAACTTCTTTCGGTTCATTGAGCAATGTTTGTTGACCACCATAACGCGCGGCGTAATATTTCGTCCATAAACGAATGAACCACTTAAATATGTTGGTGTTCAACCCAAGTTATTCTTGTTGCGCATAAAACAGTTCGATTAATTCGATATCCGGCGTGAAATTCGACGAAAGCCAAATTAGAGCGAAAAACCCATTAAAACCAATTTCGATGAAGTGACTTTTTTTTAGATCAACTAAAAAGGAAATTATATTTTGTGTCTCTGTATTAAAAGCATTTCCATCATCGAACTCATGTGGATACACAACAATCCGTGGAGAGTCAAACACATATCGATCAAAATGGTTTTGTGGCGTGTATACAAATAGAATAAAAAAAGCTGATATCAAATGTTTTTACATGTACGCAATTTTGTGGAGCAACAGGAACGAACGCACGAACAGCGTATATAAAATAACAATAATAATTCAATAGAAACGGATGGATTGATGGAGGAATAACAAACAATATGCTTACTGCGTTGATGGACAAAATGCAGAATATATGAAATGAAAACAAAGCTGAATTCAGTGGCAGCAGAGAATGAATGTTTCACAACTGCCTGTTCGATTTGCATCGACAATGCATTAGCCATTTGTTGTGGTGCACATGCGCTCTATTATTCACGAAATGTGAAACATCATTAATAAATAATATTCGAGTATTGTTTCGACGAAGTTTTTGCATCGTTCCCCCTTCGAAAAGATATCGTTCGAACAAATTGAGTACAATTTTCATGACGCTGCATTTATTTTTTTTTAATAGCCATGCAATAACCATTTGTTCGCATAGTCAAAAATATTTGCAATAAAATAATATGCAATATAAAGATTTAGTCACGAATGCAGGACGCAAAGCGCAGGAGGAAGAGAGTGTTTTAGCAAACAAAGGCAATGGCAGTTTTTATGCATGAGTTTTGCATCCCTTGTTTTCAAACGTTTTTTCCTTATCGGTACAGTTGTGCGGGCTGTTGCCACATTTCCGAAGTAAACAATGCGTTTGAAATCGGAAAATTCAACGACGATGATACACATTCAACACTCGTCAAAACACCACCAACACCATCATCATCGAAGCGTACGCAGGCATGCGTCAAAACGCGATTACAAACACACATACACCATATTCGATTGTTTCCTTTCTTTGTGGATTTCATTATGGATTTATTGCAGCTACCATACATTATTACAAAGAATCATCGGCAGGGCAATGGCTTATGTTGCTGCCTCGAAGACGAATATATTCACCATGTCGTACATGCGACTATAATACGCTGTTGAAATGTTGCCGACTTACGGTACATTGAGTAGAACGCATCATGTAACGTAAACTGTGTCGATGCGAAAGAACGCGCTCGCAACACAATACAGCACAAAGAGGACAGAGTTGAATAAAATCAAAGCAAAGAAAGAAGCGCGAACACTGTACGTCTACGTTTACAATGTTTGTTTACTCTTGGCCGTGCTATCAAGCGGTTGGCTTTGTGTACGTTTATTATTTCGACAGAATATATTTCAACATTTGAAGCCCATTTGACTAGACATATTGATAGTTATTGACAACAATGGAGACCGTGTAATAAGCACAATATTTCAAAATGGAATAGTTTTTCGTTGAAAAGAAAAGTTTTATCAAACACCCGATGCACAGTTGGAAAATTGAGTGTTGAATAGTATCTATAGTGAGTGGTTTTTTTTTGTTCTGTATAAATTTAAAATCGAGGAATTGAAAGTGTAAATCAGGGAAATGAAAATAAAAGAAAAGCGCAAACATCATGGAATAGAAAGGACTACATTTTAAAAAATTAGAATAAAAAAGAGTAATGAATATTTCAGTATAGATTCCGTTGTTGAATGTTTAGTGAAACGGTAAAAATGTGTGATAATGTGCAACGTTTAAAATGCGCGTTTGCCATCCATGTGCAACAGTGAACAGCACTGAACTGAACTTGTACAACTGCATTTTTGTATTATCTGCAAAACTGATACCGACCAGATAGATTCGTTAGATGCACCGCTGTTACTGCAACTACTGCCGATGCTGGATGCTGTGTAGTACCGCAACTCTTTCACTCGTGTATTTGTGCATTGAAGAATAAGTGAATGGGTGCATCGTAACGTGAACACAACAATTCGATTCTCTCTACAAGTGCGAATTTTATATGTGTGACGAGGCTAGAAAAGAGCAAACATTCACAAACCATTCATTTTATTGACAGATCTTTAGGCGAAACTAGTGCAAATCGTTTAACTGTGAAAAATATATATAAAAAAAACGCGCGTGTGTGTGCGAGCGTGTGACATTCGAAATCTTTAAGATATAATAGAATTGTAGCACTTAAATTTGTTAAAATTGCGAACCATAAAGTGAAAAACGGAACGGTTTTTTGTGATTTGACATACGAACTCACGAAAATCGACGGACAGGTAAACGTTGTAAACAATATGTTCATAAATTTTGTAATTGAGATTGAAAACGTGCGCGGTGTGTATTTGATGCATGATGTTTTGTTTCTTGCTTATTTGAATAAATGTGTGTATTGCCGCATTGTGAATGGCATGAATGTGAAAAAAGGGATTCAACATAGAACATGGAGTATTTAGTTTTTGTATTTTTCCACTTTCAACGTATTCCGAATGAAATTTTCATGAAAAGAAAACATCGACTCACAAGTATCGGAAAATAAATGTGAGGTCAGCGAACTCGAAATCGTTGTTGGAGTTTTACAATGTAATAAATATATATATATCGACCGCGCACATATAATATGTCCTGACAGATCATAACTTCTCGCTTGAAGTTTCGGCCCTCCCCCCGTCGTTAGTTTTGTCATAAATAAATTCCATTACTCTGAATAACTTCCTTATTTCATGCTAAAAGGATCCTTTTCAATCATAGAAAAATGCAAATCATACCATTGAAGAAAGTCTTTTAAGGGAAAATGGTATAGCGAGTGCTCATTACATTTACTATTTCTTGAGAAGGGAAAATCAATGAAAATATCATTTTGTTGATGCTTATTTTTTCTCTATCCATTTTTTTCAAAAGTAAATGTATCAAATTGACGTCACCATGTGCTGTATGGTTGATTGAATTTTAAATTGTGAAACGAATCCTCTTGATCCAAATGTGCTTGAAACTGTTTTGAAGAAATTATTTATTCAAGCGTTTTTAAATCATGTACGTGCTACCAAAAATAAACAAACGCCTGAGAGTCGCTTTCACTTATATCAACACGATATTTAATTAGCATTACTCAACAACGTACCGAAATTATGCTCAAAGTGTCACACAGCTAGCGCCACGACGGAATTCAATGTAATCTATACTAAGTTGCCGCCAACTAGTGAAAAGACTTTTGCTCAGTTACACACAACTAACTAGAACTCCACAGTTGTCCGTAGTGGCGCTAGCTGTGCTACAGTTTTGGATTTTATACAGTCTCATATGGAACATAATTGCAGTGCGCTCAACAATGTAGCACCGCATAACCTGCAAAAGATTTTTGTTTGTGCGTAGATGGTTTCTATTTTTGGTTTGAACCGAAAATAAACTCTTATCTCTGCTATCGATCAAACACTCTTCACCACATCCCTTTTTCGAAAGAGTTAACAATTCCATTCAGGATGCGGCTTCAAAATAATTGGAGCTACTGTTATTTAACACAAACGATGTCGAAACACAAAGGCATGCTGAGCAATATCGACCGTACTGTTATTGTGGTTTCTGAGAAATCTGTTAGGTTGCTTTGATATCACCTCCCCTAGCCTGGCTTTGATATCATTTGAATACCCTCTGGTTATTACAGAACAATAATTTGGTATAACAATGGAGCCGCTCTGTGTTCGCTCCACTTATAATCAAACGAAAGAAAAACTACACGCACAAAAAAAATATGAAAAAAGATGTCCAACGATGGAAAATAACAGAAAAATATAGGTCAATCGTTGTAGGCTGATCGATATCTGAGAAACACAACACCGGAATAGAGAATAGTTTTATTTTTTTTTTGTGTTAAGGGTAAATAAAAAAATGAACAAATTGCTCATGTCACCTAAATTTACTTTAATATTCAATCGTGTTTGAATACATTAGACAGCGATCGATTACTTTCCGGTGCGTTGATTTCCATTTGACTCGATTTTAATTTTGATTCACGACTTTCTCTTGAGCATTTGTACGGAATGCTTTGAATACTCATTTTTGACATACAAATATGTTGTTCCAATTACTTAAAATAGAAGCTGTTTGCCTTTTATAACACTTTATTTGTTTGAACATTTTTTTTATGCAAGTGCAATTACTTATGATGTTATTACGTCATATTCAAATAGGATCTCATAAATGGTTGATAGGGAATGAAACGATGTGTCGAGAATATGTTCGTAACGTTTAATAAACGCATTTCACATCGTTTGAACTGTAACTGCGTTGACCAGTATATATACAATCTCGCTAATTCCGTATTCGATATATACTTTAACTAGAAGAAGAAAATGTTTGCATACCAAATTCAATATGCAAGCATGAGACGGATTCAACGAAAAATGCGCAAGAGAATTTCAATGAACAATATGCCGGCAAAAAAGAAAATGAAAACAAAAATAAACTCAGGCCAAAATTAATATATCTAATTGAAAAAAAGAGTAAGCATTTAAATACAAGCGTACGATAGTCATCGCGATCGTATTTATTCGACGACATGCGCCGACAAAGATTTGTGTGTTTATGTTGTTGCAATTTTCTCTTTCGTTCGCACGTTAACCGATCAATTTTTCGCGCTTTTTTTCGCCGTTCCTGTAATTAGATGAAATGTCTCGTTGAGCGCGTCCGAACGATAGAAAGAGAGACTGGCTTGGCCTTCTAAATGAATTTCGTCAAAACCACACATTTAGTTGAGTGTGAGCTTTCAGTGCGCGCGTGTTTCACATCTCTCGTAGAGTCACCGACAACCAAACCAAAGAACACAGCATTTACTGCTCTCGCTTTCGAGTCGATCGTTTAGTATTTTATATTTCTTCATTTGTTTGAGCAGTGATTTTTCGCTTCAAGTAATTCCCATTTTCTAATGATTTTTTTCTCTCTCTCTCTCTTTATTTTCAAATATTTTATATTATTCAATCTACATTAGATTCTCGCATCGACTGATATAATTCGATGCAATTTTCGATGATTGTGCATGGTCGATTGAAATACCATATTGCTCGTTTGCTGTTTGGTGTGTATGAAAATTGGGTTAAACGAATGACTGTCATTAAACAGTTTGAATTTTACATAATTTTCACATTGAAAAACGCATAAAATTCTTAACGATCAAGCAAAATTCGAAACGATATACTAGAACGGATTGTGCTCGTTCAACCGTGCACTTGAGCGATTGTATAGCTTAGAATATCCCGTGTTGGTGATGAACAAATAAATTTTTGTGTTTTTATTCAGTTACAAAAAAAAATGTCGGTAGTGAAATCGGCTTGATTACGGTCGGGTTATCGTAGGCTAGAAAACAGGGTACTGAATGTTTCTGTATTTGGTGTGTGTGCGTAGAAATTGAAGTAGAAAAAATTTGAATAATTTTCTTCGCAAGAACTGTTTTACGACCGATTCATTTTTCTCACAAAAATCTCTTGGAAAAATGTCAAAGGTAAGCAAGCAAAATTGACTGAGCCACCCAAAATGTTGGCGCTAGTAATTTTTTTTTGCTTCACAACCGTCAGCATTTTATTACATTTCTTACTACACTAACCATATTTATGTTGTAATCCATTCAATGTTTACTGAACACAAGCGCGCAATAAATCGCACACTCCACACAAATGACATTTCACCCGTACACACTGTTCAACGATATATTTTCATGAGAATGTGTAGTTTGTTTTAACTTTAATATCGTTTCTTTTTAACAATGTTTACATTCACAATCATTTTACTCGTTCAAAAACTTTTCGATCGATTTTCTCCGTATAATGAAACGAACCTAAAGAAGAAAAATAATCATAACCCATTGTCAACTTCATCAAAACCGAAAAATGTTTATTTTTATCGTGATGGCTGTAATAATCCGAAATGGAATGCATTATTTACACAAACGAATAAACAGAATTAGGAATAAAGCAAAAGAATTCACAATGTATTACATAAAAATGGCCAATAGTTTTCTGTCTCAAAATTCTTGGAAAAGTTCCATAACAACTAAATGACTTAATTTTATTCGAGAAAAAAAAACCTCCCATTCCACTTTTTGTATTGAAAAACTGACTTGCATTCAGAATGCCATGTGCGGATTCATTGGAAATGTCGTCATTCGTACGCTATAAAGCATCACAAAAAGAGATTAAGAAATGCTACAATTGGAATTATCGACGACAATGTGTCATTTTAGATTTACTCCTATTTATTTGTGTAACCGAAATTTATTCGATATTTTGTGATTTAGATGCGGAGAGCAGAAAAGACCGCACACAGAAAACTAGTTCGACACACACACAAGCATACACATATTTCTGAATTCGCCAATCTAATGCCATATTTGACACAAGAAAACATTGAGATTTCTTAATTAGCATTGAAATGAAAGAAAAAAAGGCCGATTTCTATTCCAATCAAGCAGACCGACGATGCCATTGACTTCGCTCTAATCAAATAGAAAAAAATGGGTTTCTTATGCATGTATCATGTACATCATCGAAAGTGCAATCACATGTGCATGAGTGTGTTGCCATTGCCATATGTACGGTGTGAATGATATATGTGCCACCTCTTTCAAACGCATCGATCAATCTCGCTTTTCACTTTTATGTATTCGTTTCTATCAAAACCATGATTTAGGAAATGTTCGAATTCCAAATGCGGTACGCTGAAGGGAATACTCATTAAAATTCGTTCAATTAACATCAAGAGTGCAAATAAAAGTGGATTATATTGTCGAAACTTTTCGATGCGCAGAGGCAAGAAAAACCTTCATAGTACTTGGTGAGCGTGCACACATTAATGCCGAAAAACAAACGTATTGACGTTCAGTTTGTTTATTTAGTATAGATCGACGCGGAGTTTTTTTTTTCTTTTCAAATTTTAATTATTATTCTTTACATATACACAACTTCAAACACACATGTATGACTTTTGAGAGGCAATACACACAACACAAGTGGATTTGAGTGGAAACGAATCGACCGAATTTCAATAATTTTTACAAAGAATTCGTTAACTCACAGAACGTTGCGGCGATTGTGAATTATTATTGCTTTATAAAGTGCAATCGGAATTTAGTTTTCGAACCACACATTGAAGTTTCTTAATTTACATTGAGCCAATAAATTGCTGTTATACTTTCTTTTTCGTCTTCATCTAAAAGTGCCAACGAACTATGTGTATATACAAAAGTACACCATAAAATGACTGAATTAAATCCTGGTTAATTATCGTAAATGCGCTGACTGATGAATCATGCATATTTCATTCGTTTTCATGGCGTTGATTATTGCACACATCGATTTGATTTATGGAAATTGATCCAAATAGCAAAAAAGGGAATCGTAGTTTGTCTAAATTTGATATCGAGACTTTCATCACCTGATTGTAAAATACACTTCACGCTGGTGTTAAATTAAATACGAAAAAAGAACGTGTTTTCTATATGTAAACAATGAAAAAACGACGTAATCTCAAAAAAATCTGTGAAAAGAAGTGAAATTGCAAGCAGAAATATTGTAACCAGTTTGTATATACGTTGCGAAATATATGCGATCATCACGAATGAGCATGGCTCGCATTGTGTATTTTTAGATAATTGCTGAAAGATGTGAGATCAAGATTTTTGCAGATATTTATGAAGCTGTCGTATGTGTATCGATGTGAGCTGATTTCATACTGCATAACTTGATATAAGTCATTTCAATGAAATATTTTTTGTTTCGTATTTTTTGTTGATGTTAGCGCTTGACACAGCAACAAAAAATTCCCCTTATAACAACCGTGAAAAAAAGCATCAATTTTACACACTTGTTATGTTTGCTTTTTGTAGAAACATACGATATGCTTGTTTCCTTTGGACCGACGAGAAGCGGTTTGTACATAAGATTTTTACGATCGGTATTACGCATACGTCTGGCCATGCAAATCGGAATTTGGTTTGATTTGATGGAATGATTGACATATTTATTCTATACAGTAAATTCTCCAGTTGATGAGTGTTGCCGAGTGTGAATCTTTTCCGCATGTTTTTTTGTTCTTATTTTCAAAATAGGATTTCATTTCTAATGAATAATTATCACCATTTTAATTTTTCGATTTTTTTTGGCTTGAATAATAATAATTGCTTTGTGATTTTCAATTTAAAAAGGTATATGCACCAAGTGGTCTTAAGCCGCCAATGCAACGTTGCCCATACATTCATGAGATGCGAGAACGTTTTATCAACGATACGCCGAGTCAAGTGTACATTATGAACCGATTGGAACGTGAACGGGATCGTGCTGAGCGCGAAAATTTGCTCGGCAATCCAAAACAATCATCTGCCATAAGCGATGCGAGTAGTAATCAGGTCGGGACGGTGGTCAAGGTATGATTGGCAATAACTCGGGCAGAGCATGATTTACAACGATCGACGGATCTCAACGTATAATTAATACAAACAATTCTTTCTGTTTATTTCCCATTGTTCTTTTTTCTCTTTTTATCTCTCTCTCTCTCTTGTTTGGACTTGTACATTTTCATTCTCTCGTACTTTTTGCTACTGTCGAAGTTGAAAATGAATCCAGCTTTCAATTCATTTTCATTCATTTATAAATACACCAAAAAACAATGTAACAAACCTGAAATGCACGAGTTATTTTGCCATTTGTACCCTAGATCGCTACAATAAAAAAAACCATTTATTATATTTATATTCTTTTTAATGTTTAAGTAGTTAAGATTTATGAATAATTTGCCATAAAATTGACAATTAATCGATTTAGAAACCATTTGCCACACGAAAAAAAAAACAACAAAATTCCCCAGACACAAAACACAACCACACACATCATATTCGTCATAAAAAGCCGTGTTACTAATTGATTTGCTTAAAATTCTAGTGCTTATTACAAAGTTGAAAATAAATATAAAACATAAAATAAACACGCGCTTAATTGCTGTAACCCCAATTGTGTTAATGTTTCAGTATGTCAAATTGCATTTGAAGTTGAAAAAGCATGTCAAAATTTCACAAAAAAATACTGTTTGTTTCCAATGCATTTATAAATATCATTGCGTTTCGTTGAAAACAGCTATTCTATAATGAACAGCTGACTTCAATGCACCACTTTGATATGCTTGTATGCATTTTTAATACTAATTTAACCATTCATGTTTTTCCATTTGTACACTTTTTTCGGCATTCAGTCAAAACGGAATGGAATTTGTTTTAGAGTTTTCAGCATCGCAACCAGATATAGTGCTTTTTTGACTTATGCCATCTTGAGCTCTTAAAAGGCTAATGAAGAATTACGTGAGCACATGTCAATGTCAATGTTAAGTCATTCTCAACGGTAATATTATAGCCTGGAATATAATTGGCTTTACTGCAATTGCAATCAGGATTATTTACAATATTTTATTAGAATTAAAATCAAGTTTGACGATCATTTATTCCGACATTGTATCGCAAATTTTTTTTATTTTTAAAGTCTCAAGTGAACGCTCGTTCATCAAAAACTCAATTAAATTTATGAAAAAACCCCAATAACTTCATCAAAAATGTATTTACCTTTGTATTAAATTGAATTGGTTCTTTTTTTAGAATGAATAATTTTCGTCTTCGATTATTTCAAGTAAAAATATGGAAATTGTACTCAACTCACAAGTCTGGTTCCGGTGCTGCAACAATGATTATATTTAATAATATATAAATATTATATACGTCTATGTTTATATACTCAGTGTTATTGACATTTTGTTTGAGCTGAAAAGAAGCTCTGTGTTTGTTGTGTCCATGTCTATCGAAATTGTTTGTTTTTCATTGATCGATAATAATAATAATAATATGAAGCGATGGAAAATTGGTTCGAATTAAACTAATGAAGCTCATAAATTTTAGATCCATAATGATGGTTACCATACGAGTCCAGCGCATATGAATCTACGCACGCCGCTAGTACCTCGTGATTTGGGGGAGGATTTTAGTATAGGATATGATGACGAACAGCCAACAATTCCATTAGATCCAAAACTACCGAAGAATGCAAAGTAAGTAAAGTATATCATTTGAATCGGTTTCGTCATTAATTCGGTGACAGTATTTGTTCTCGTCGTATTTTAAGTATCATTCGTAATATTCATATCTGTGTGCATAGGTTTTAAGAAACTTCCGATTCAATTAACAGAACCACCCAAAGAAGAAACCCAATTAAAATTATTTCTATTTTTTTATTTTTTTTTCGTTCTATTTTCTTTATAATAATATTTGGGAAAAGATTTAGCACATGTGAAAACGGATTGTTTGTACAACCATACAAAAGGTTAGATTTAACATGAACAAAAGTCATAATAATAACACTAGTTGTGTGTATGCACGCACCATTATCCTCTGAGCTACTAATAAATTCTTTTTCCAATTCGGAATGCATAATTAAATTGTATGTGACACTGCACTAGGCACCGTTCGATGAACTTTCTTAATGCGGAGCCAAAGAATGAAATGAACGTTGATAGGCATAAATGTTTGGCATGGAAATTAATTCAAACTTCAACTTTAGTTTTTAAAACCGTTTTCGAGTTAAATTTATTCCAACGAATTTTCAGTACGTTCTAAAATATAATAATAATGTTGTTAATTCGTTCATTTAAACCATGCTTTTAATGCTCCGAAGTAAGAGACTTCCACACATTCAAAAAAAGCGTTTGGTTTATAATGCTTACTAACACTATACACATCGTAGAACGAAATCTTAGATTTCGATTTTATTTATTCATGCGACATCAATTTTATTCATCGATTTTATGTAGCCCAAAACCTCAGCTAGCTTGAATAGCCTTTCATTAATACATAAAAACCTCCTTGAAACCATAAAAACAAAATCATACCCTAGCATAATGCATCGCCGTCAAAGACATTGTATATTATTATTTTAGTTATGCACGGCCTGTGTGAGTGTCGTCGTCCTCGTCGTCGTATCAGCGACATGAGCGTTCTATGTGTCGTTTAAATGCACATTAAAGGATCTAATCAAACGTGACCACATGATATGCGATATATTGAGTAATGTGACGACTGCGACGAATAGAACGAGTGCTAATGAACGATTTTATTTGAATAAATGCTGACAAAGATTCTCACAAGGGGTGTTCACAACAATGAGTTTTGTGAGCAATCACATACATGCTTCGCTCATTGAAAGTTCGAGTAGCAAGCAGACGGATCAATGTTCAATCTATTATAAAAAAAGTCGTCGTCTGTTATTCATCAATCCGGAAACTAATTAAAACAAAGAAATCTGATTTGAATGTACTTTATGGCCGTTCTGGCTCCTTCGTTCCATCTCGTCATTGAATGTGAGGTCGATTGCATTGTTGCCGTGTCAATCGTTGAAGTGTTCATGAATTTTTCGGCAGCCGTCAATCAAGACGATGTGGAAAATCACAACGCAAACATCATTTCAATCCAATCCAAAAATCTAGAACCAGTTTAATCATTTCCAAAAATAAACAGAACAAAATGATTCCAATCAAAACTCAATGAGATAAAATGTAAATGAAATGCAGCCGCACGAAATGAGCATACAATGTTTGATGTATAAATGGCAATTTTCCACTTTGAAAACTCAATTTCTCGTTCTCATTTCCCAAGAATATACGGAAATTAAATTAACTCAATTGTGCCTCTGAAATGAAATGTCCAAAATGGTAATACGTCGCAAAAATTCTCTCTTTCTCCTCTCAATGGAAGAGTTCTTGTGTACAATTGAGTTTAAACCATTGAAGTGCCAAGAGTGTTCGATACTTGTATTTGGTTGTTGTACCAAATGATACGCGTAACACGGAATACGTGCAAATCTCCTTTGGCTTTGTCTATGCACCCTTTTTATTCCACAGCATCGCAATAAACGCTTCGTATGTATATGCTGTACACAGTTTTGTGCACACAATCACACTAAAATGCAATCGAATTCATTCCAAGCGCGTCGCAATTGTGCATGTGGATGTATTTGTGCGTATTTTTTGCGTATCTGTATTGAACTGGTTTGTTGTGTTAGGGGATAATAAGTCGTTTTCACAATTCCAGTAGCACCACTACATCGATTCAAATCAAAGTTATCAATCGAAAACGCGTTCATTCTCTCTCTTTCTTTGTTGTGTGATTGTGTGTGTGTGTTCGATTAAGAGCATTCATTTCCCGTTGCTTCCCGTGTGTGCGATTGTCCATACGAAGAAGAATCGGGAATATATGTATGGTTGCGACGCGCGCTCATTCGCTTGCTTTTGTCGATTTCTTTTTTGGGGTGAGAGAGCGAGAGTCGAGCATTTCAATACCAAGCAATTTCAAACATAAACAGCTTTGCTTATTATCAAGCAGCCGTAGCATCGTTTTTGTCCTAACAACACTGAATAGCAATAGCAGCAGCGCAGCATCGTCACAACCATTTTACTGGAAGTGTATTCAGTACTTAGTCTGCGTTAGGTTTGATAAAACCGTCGACCCAGCAAAAGTATAACTCGTACGAAATTTTCATATTCCAATCGAGTGAAAAAAACTTTCTTTTTAATTTGCCATAAAATCGGTAACAAAAAAAGTGGAAATTTTCGACGTAATAATTTTTGTTTTTCGTTTGGATTGTGTAAATAAAAGATACGCAATGAGAATTATAAATCAAGTGATTTTGAATTTTAAAAGAGTTTAGTTTTTTTTCATTGGTATACAAAGCAACGTTTTAAGTTTCCACTGTTATCGCTTTACACTTCATTTGTTCATTCGCATCCATTTCGCAGCCCAAAATAAACAACAACAACAAAAATTCCTTCTTATTTTATGTTCTTTTGTGTACAATGTTTGGTGTTGTTACGTAACTCATTTATTGCCATCGATGCTATCCATTTCTATCATTACTCGTCTTGGCCGGGATAAACAAACGGTTTTGTGTTGGATTTATTTGTTTCATGTTTTTATTTATCATCTCAATAAAATCAGTGTACGATAGAAATTATGTCAAGTACATTTAAAGAACAATTTCAGTGGGAAAAATCTCACACTTGCCGTGAGAAAGTGCAAAAAGATAGATAGAGAGAGAGGGAGAGAGAGAGAGAGAGAGAGAGAGAATAAAAGAGTCGCAGAATGAAATTTAAAAATTCATGATGCGCAATTTGAATCTAAAAATGGATTTCCATCATTTTGAACTGAAGTGGAATTTACAAAAAACGTCGCATAAAATATTCAAGCCTATACAAGAACGTCCTTGAGATGTTGCAACATATTTCTATATATATTTGTTGTGCCCATTGTTTGATGAGCTGAATAACATAACACAAATAGGAAACGTTTATTTTTGTGTTTGCATTGCTCTCATTTACCAACCGGATATTGAATTTCTTTTTTTTCTTCTCTTCCATCGTCGACTCGTTTTCCCAGTTGGTGCACAATAAAAGCATTCACCCAAGCCATCGTTGCATCGTTGAATAGATATGGTTAGCAATAATTTAATTTTCCATGATCTCTTGTGGATTTCTATCTATTTCTGTAAAATGTTGATAGATGTTACCCATACAATTCAAGTGACTAAATGAAAATTTGCAATTGAGTGAGAAAAAAAAACAGTAAATTGCATAAAATTAAGTTTCTCAGATGCAAAATCCAAGTGATATACATATTTGAGAGGTCACTAGGTCGTCCAGGCATTTTGTGTAATGATGACAAGAGTATTGGAGCTCTCCATATAGCTCAGCCCCACCCGTATTCTATGAGAGTCGCGTCCATCTGTGTGTAGATGTTTGCCATTCGGTTCATCTCAGTTTTCTGAGTGGTGGCATAGAACAACGACGAACACTCGAAAATTCGACTACACTGCTGCTGTTTTTACAAATTTTCCAGTTTTCGTCACATCGTTTTTCGCTCTTCCACACACTGATGATAACACAAGAGCACACAATAAAGCACACAGCACGATGCTCTGCGATGCTCCACCGAAGCGCCAGCATCAAAATGTGATAGAGAGCATAGCATTTTCTACGTGTGTAATATGCTCTCCTTTTTATGTTCATAATTTGCTCGTGTGCAACGGTGTGCTCAATGCGCAGATTCCATTCGGTGGATGATAAAGAGAGAGATCGAATGTGTATTCGAAGGAATTTTTTTTTGTGTTGTATGTGCGTTTGCTCAACACTTTTCGCTCATTTAGTGTGTTCGATTCTCTGGGAATCAGAGTCAATTTACAATTCAGAAACGAAAGTTTTCAATCCGTTTTGTGTCTGTGTGTGCAGTTTTGCTTGCGTTTTGATTTCGGTCTTTTTGATTCCAAACGAAGCAAAATCCATTTTTTGCAAAACTCGCTCACTCTCTACATTTATTGTATGCGCATTATCTTTCCAGCGGGTTTACACCAAACAAATTGACCAAGTCAATACAATCGTTCTCTCTAAAAAGCATAAAAAAGAAGGAATTTTCGAAAAAAAAAATCCCCCCGACGAAAAAAGTGTTTACATTCACTGTGATAAATTCTATTCGTTTACTTAAACATCGAATTTTTATTTTAGCATTTTTTAAGTAAATCATCTACGTTTTCGTAAACATCGAATCATTTTACGTCCTATTTTAATCATCAAAAAGAAACCATCATCATTCCACATCGATTGAACTCAATTTCATCAATCAAATTTGAAAGAAAAAGAATAAGAAATATTGTTGAATGACTTTTTAATCCATTTTTAATCTGAACTCACGCAAATATCTCTTTATTGGATGTCGGATTATTTTATGTGAAGATCCACTGAATTATGATATAAAAGTGTGAGCTGATTGTAAACTGTACTTGTGGATATCACTGTGTTTGCAGAAAGAACGAGGGAGGATGAAAAGATTTGATAACATCAATCAGTTAAAAAATAAAGTTTGAATATAATATTGAAGAAAAGAATTATTGAAATTGATTCAAAGAACAGAGCAATCAAGTGAACGAAAAAAATAAAAGGACGGTTTTTGTCTGTGTTAAAAGATGGGTGGACCAGATTCGAAAATATCCACCGTTGATGTGGAAAGTGGCGACAATATGGCTACGTTGCCTGTATCGCGCGCTCATACAAGCAGCACTGATATGGCCGAAAAGAATAATGCTGCCAATAAGGAAATGGAACTGAAAAATGTCATGCCAAAACCGTTGGAAAGGTATTTTAACCATTGACAATTTGACGCATTCCTTTATTTTATCGAATTAGACATTTTGTCCCATTGTGGGCTTCGAAGGCGAAATCGCTATGGTTTTTATTTTGGTTTTTGTTGGCAGGAAATGAAAAGGAATTTTGATGTCATTTTTCATTCTCCACAATTATTTCTTTTACTAATATTTTCTTTTTGTGTTCGAATCACTTCTTTGTATTCTGTTTTTTTATCAATTTAGAATTACTTCTGGTCTATAATAAAAAAAAAGCATAATCGTAAGGCATTTTACAGTTTATACATTTTCTCACAGACGTCACATACGCTGCATAACTAACAAATACACAAATTTAAGTTTGATGGTGTTTTTTTTACTAATCAAATCGATAGCTTTAAGTTTTCATGCCAAATAACGTGTGCATTAAGACGATATTAAACACAAAGCAAGCTAAACAAAAATCACATCCACTCGCATTTACAGCGTTTTAGTGCTAGCCGAACATTTTATGTTTAGTCATACATTTACAATATTTAATAATTTTCACAAATTTTCACACTTTTTTTAGATATTCAGAGTTTAGATTTCGGTTTTTCATAGCCATTTTCTTGTTTCGCTCGTTTCGTGCGCATATTCATTTCGTTTTAACATTATTTCGATTTTTCTTTCAGAACTTCATTATTCATTATCACCAGTTTAGTGTATGCCATGCTACTTATTGTAGTATGCGTTGCATATGTTATTAGTGATGTAAGCACACATCGATTGCCGATCGTTTACTATGAAGGATATTTTACATATTTGTATGGGGCTAGTATTTTGTTCCTGCTATATGTCTTTTGCTTTTTATTGCAAGGTAAATTTTATACTCAAAAATCAAATTCTCATGTTTTACATCTATACACGATCTATTTTTTTTCAAATTCGTTCATTCTCGTAAGTTTCAATTTACGGATTTTTAATGTTAGGGTCTCAATACAAATGAGAATGAATGAAACATAGGCACATTTATAATGAATGCTTGCTAACCTTGTTCAAATTATTAAATTTTGTGTAATTTAATTTTTAAAATGTGTTTCATTTCATTGTCCAATTAACATTGAGACCTCTTTCATTCAAACTCCATAAATGTGTTATGCAAAAATCTTCAAGCAAAACATTCGGTGCGCATCAAAACTCTTGAAAAACTGATACAAGACAAAAAAAACTACCCCATTGTTTCATCAAACCACTCAAACAAGCAAGCACACTTTCATTTCATTTCCATTTGCGACACACTTCATCTCCATGAATAACATTTTTTTGAGCATTTGCAATGTAACCCATTCAGAAATGGGTTTCTTATACTATATACTCAGAAGAAAATTTTATCGAATTTTGAATGCAAAATTTTTCAAGCACATTTTAATATCCTCAATATAGAGTAATGTTTTACAGCAAATGCAATATATGTTTCTCTTTTTCAAACGAATAACTTGACTTGCACTTAATCCTCAAAGTGGTGACCGAATTTTTGTGTAATTTCCACAAAAGAAGAATATTCTTGATAGTCTATTTCAATTCTGCGGCGTTTGAATGTGTATATTAAATGAATTATTGATTTTGTAATGCAGAAAGCAGTTGCTGCAACGGAGGTTCAACGCCAAAACCACCAAAGCCGGTTAAGGAAAAGAAGGAGAAACCGAAAAAGGAAAAGAAACCAAAGAAAGAAAAAGGCGCACCAGCTGAAGGAACCGCCGCCGAAGCTAAGGATAAAGATCCGAAATCAAGTGGAAAAGAAAAGGATAAAGAAGCTGCCAAAGCTAAACCCGCTCCACTTCAGGTATAATACAAATGCTTAAAATTAAACCTCTCATTTGCATACATATTTGTTGCTAAACAATTATATTATCATTTCATTTTGTTAAATAATATTTAATAAATATTACTGTAATTGCATTTGACACTTATCAAAAAAAATTAAACATATATATATGTATTGCACAACGCCTTTCGGTAAATTGAACTTGAATGCTTTTTGGGCATGCATTGTTTTAAATGTATAAAATTGATTGATGACTATAAAAAAAGGAAGGAGTGCCACGAAAGCAACGTGATATTGTGCGACAGAGGTCGCAATCATTACATTCCATTCAGGTGAGACAGGTTGTGCGTTGATATTGTCTGAATGGCATGAAAGTTTAGAAAAAAACCAACTAACAACTGTCGTGTGTGAAGAGTCTTTGGATTTCATTTTTAACAAGCTTGCATATTTTCCATCAAATTGCATGTGCTTTTTTCATTTGTGAGGAGTGAGATGTTCAACTACATTTTTGGAACAGAAAATTTGAATAATTTTTGTTTTTGTTTTTGCGTATTATTTTCGGAACAGGAAGCACCAGTCGAATCTGTTGAAGTTGTGGCCACTCCCAAAAATGTTCGTAAACGTAAAACCACTCATGCCGATCCAAGCTATGGAAGTTTCTTTTTGCGTGTCGGAGCTATTGGTACTTATTATTGCAATAAATTCTAATTTATAAGTTTTTTCTTTTTCTTGAAGTAATTTAAACTTACTGGCATTGTGTTTCAACAGCATTTGGTTTGGGTACTATGATTTATGTTGGATTGGAACTTGGATCATTCTTTGAAATCCCATTTGATTCACCATGTCATCAAATTTTGCGCGGTGTAAATCCATTGTTACAAATGATTTTCACATTTATGCAAATGTACTTTATCTTCATGAATGCACGAGTATGTACGACTTTGCAAGAAAACAAATTTTCCATCTCTGCTTTGAATCACAAAGAATTGAAATAATTTTCTTTTCAGTTGAATATTCATCGTTTCAAAGTTTTGGCACGTTTCGGTTTGATGCACATTTGTGCAACCAATATTTGCGTTTGGATTCGCACTTTGGTATTGGAATCATTGAAAGAAATCACCGTTTACTATCAAGGACGTCAAGCCATTTCAGATGAAGGTGTTTTACTCGACTCGATTCGTACGCATACACTAAAACATGCTGGCACCGTTTTGGGAACACACTCAGGTAAAACAAAAATCTTGAAAAATGTCTGAACTTAGCTGAACAATTCAAATTTGATTTATACATATAATATAATTGTTCTATTGCCAGGTCCAAATTTGGAACCAGCATGGGAACCGATTGATTTGCGTGTTCGCGACGATTCGAATGAGAATCTTTTGACAAAGGCATTGAACGCAACTGGTCGTGCTGCTTCAAAGGCGGTATCACGCTCTGCATCATATTTGGCTGCTGATGTATCAACCACTCAGGAAACCCCACTTACATCAAGCGAAAATCTTGAATCGACCACTTTGTTTAATAAAGTGAAAAAAATCCTCAGCACAGCTGCTTCGTCGACAATCAGCTCGACTATTGCAAGTACAACATCAACCACATCGTCAACATCAACAACAACAACAACAACGACAACCACAACAACAACTCCGGCTCCAAGTTCAACACTTTCACAACTAACCGAATCGTCATCACTTGCATCATCTACTGTTCAAGCGATTGTAACTGATGCGGTCACATCAACAGCAAATGCTCCAGCATCTGTATTCAATAATCCATTGGGCGCAATGGAAAATGCATTCCAAACATTGTCAGGATTGTCACATAATGAAACTGAAGTAGAGAGTTTGGATTCGTTAATTCCACAAGCATTGATTGGTGCATCGGCTTCATCAGGCACAAACTTAAGTTGCGGTCGTGTCAATATCATGGGAACTATTGTTCAGGATTCAGCTCCATACTTGTATCCATTCATTGTTGAATACTCATTGATTGGTGCTGTCGTTATTTATGTGATGTGGAAACATATTGGCCGGTATGCAAAAGGCAATGAAGAAGATTTGGAACATCGTTTGGAAGTGATGTTGTCACGTCGTGCTGTTGCAATGGCTCAACGATCCCGCTCCGGTCGAGTTGATTGTGTTGGAGCATCAAAAGGACTCTTCTTCGGATTATTGGCACTTGTCGCTTCACTTATTTGCTTGATTCTTTTCTTCGTTTTGGTCGTGAAACCGCCATTTAATCGCTTGGCTATTTTCCTTGCTGATTGTTCGCACGGCGGTATTTTGGCACTTTCAATTTTGGCTATTCTCATTGGTTTCTGTCGGTGAGTATTTTCATTAGAAAAAAAGATCATTTGAACACTTTATTGAAGAATTTCATAATTTTTAATTGCAGTGTTTCGAAGTTGAAGTTCCGCTGTGAAGAAACTGGCAATCTCAATGATATTCTCTTACGTATTTCGGCATTTGGAGTGTTCATCTATTCGGCATTCAGCATTATTGCTGGCGCATTGAAAATAATGGAGAGTGAAGCAAATCTTTTGGTCACTGTTACCAGCTCAGTTGTTGTTCTTCAAGTCGTACTGCAATTGCTTTTCATTGCTGACGTCTCAAGACGTCGTGTACATTTACCCGAACATGATCGCACCAAACCTGGCCGACAAGTTGTCACTTTCCTCCTTATCGCCAACGTCGCAATGTTCGCCATTTATACATTCGAAGCACAAAAAGTTGTCAACAATCCGGTAAGTAGTTCCATTCAAACTGAAATTAATATTCAGTTTCCATCGATTGAATTCACTTATAAATTGGTAAATTTTCAGGTTCAACTTGATTTCTATGGATACATTGGATGGGCATTGATTCAGCGAGTCACATTGCCATTGTGCATATTCCATCGATTCCACAGCGCTGTTACACTAGCCGAAATATGGAAGACAACCTACAAAGCACGCTTAGAGTAAATTCAACACTGCCATCATCTCTGTCTCTACTAACCGAATTTAAAAGAACCATTCAACAAAATGTTTGAAATGCTTAAAGCACATACACACATACACCAAACAAAGCATTTGTGGGATATTAGAAAGATCAACAATTTTCTCTAGATATGCTTCGAACGATAAGTTGCATAAATTTAGGCATTTATTTAAAAGAAATGTATGTGTGCTCACAGAAGGCGTCAATTGTAATATTTGTGAACTCTGGTAGTAATTTACTAAAATACCACCATTACAATGTGCGACATGGTGATTTTTGTATGTATTGTATTTGCTTTGCTGTGACAGCGCTGTACAGTATTACCACCAACACTGCGTTGAGCGATAGTAATATTGCTCAGCAAAGTAAATACAATACATACAAAAATGACCATGCCACACATTGTAATGGTGGTAATTTAGTAAATCACCACCAGAGTTCGCAAATATTACAATTGACGTCTTCTGTGAGTGTGTACGTGTGGAGTCGGTTAGAGAAAAAATCGAGATATACAAATGATAAAAGAAAAAAACACCCAACCAACTGGACGCTTAATTTCGGTCCAATGAAACATTTTTAAATTTTTAAACATACATATTCACAAGAAAAAAAAATTAAGTAATTTAAATAAAAACAACAACAAAACAAACAAATCGAGTCAACACATTTAACACATTTATATACGTATATATATAAAAGAAACAACAAAAACTATTAATTTCTTTGCAAAGTCAATATTTATATAGATGGAAGAACAAATCAAAGTCATTATATATGTGTGGTTACAGATTGCGCAAGCAACAAAACTAAAAGCATAGAAATACAAGTAAAAAAGAAAAGAAAATTTATTTATTTAATTTTCAAACAGTCCCTTTTTATATTGTATTTAATTTAAGATGTGATTTCAGCGTTTTCAAAGTGAAATATTTTACGTTATGAATATACCGCAAATAAATAATTTTTTTTTTTTTTTTCAAATGAGAAAAAAAAATTAGAACCTAGTAAGACAGTGTTAAAATTAATTGAAATTTTCTAGATATTTGCATTTGTTTCATTTCGTTTTTGGCATTCATTTCACGTTCAATCAGATACGAGTCAAAGTCAGATACCACATTTTTGTTTCTTCTTTTCTTTGAGAGTTAAAGTCAGTCTAATTATCTTTTAAGCATAGTAATTGATTTAGGATTTAAGTGTCGTCGACAGATAAAAAGAAATTCTATCTCTGATAATATGGAAAAGTGGATGCTCCGTCGGCCAGGTCACAGTGCAATGTTTTTCTTTACCACAGCAAAATAGACAAAAAAAATCGTTTTTAAAAGGCAAAACCGACTTTTTGAATAAATTCCATCTTTTGCGAAACAAAAACCGACCGTTACACCAATGAAATCCATGTGTTCAAATAAATAAATTAGGCATAGTGCGAGTCTATCCCAAAAAAAATCACAAGACACCAAACAGAAACGACCACAAATGCATTGCACCTCTTTGCGACACACGAAACTTCTATTCACATTCATCTGAAAAACGAAACAAGAAAAAGAACATCAATATACCATAACAAAAATCACATATATTAAAATTAAAAACAAAAAACCATAAAATGGAGCAAAAGCAAAACAAATACATCGTATTTGAATAAGAATCTAAGAAATTATTATATTGTAACTGATATTTCCGAAATAAAAAAAAAAAAAAACAATTCAGTGAGTAAAAATGAAACGAACAAAAGATATGTACTTAAAGTATAGAATTATATATGACAAACAAACAAATAAAAAGTAAAAATTGTTCTCATCCATGTATTAGGTGTGTTTTTAGAAACATAAAAATAATTAAAAAAAAAAACATTTATTTAATGAACAATTGCGTCACGTAGATACAAAATAACACTCTCAATCTCTTTTTTGTACTATTATTTTGTCCTTTGTTTTTCTTCTATGGTTTTATTTCTTTTTCGCTACACCCCGCTTATATTTTGTGGTCAATGAAGCAATTTGTAGACTTTCCTTTTGTGATTAAGTGATATTCAAATGGCACAATTGCCATTTAGCCGAACAATACCGGAGCATTTCATGTGAAATCTCTAGATTAATATGTCTTTTTATTCGATCTTGGTTTCGGCTGGCTGTAAGCAAACTTTAAAAAAAAAAATATTTGTCACGTAAATAAGAACATTTTCACTAGTTGCAGTGTTGTCATAGCGACAGCACTGGTGTTTTTTATATATTGATAAAAAAAAAAGATTCGTAGAAAGTTTGAAAGAAAAAATTCGCAATTTTTAACGCTTATACATTTTCACTCGTTCCACTCAATCCTTTTAAGAAAAACAACAATTTTTACATTTTTACACCAGCAACCAAATTTAAGCGAATTAGCATAGAGACATAGAAATTCGTTGTCAAGTGTAATTTTATCCCCCAAAGCAGTTTTTTTTGCCCAATGAAACATAAATTTATTACGCGAAACTCCGTGTTCCATGCTTGTTTTGTTAATAAAAATTGACAAACACGCTTCAATAATCAAAGATTGATTATCAAATGATGCAGTCATCACTGACACATTTCACAAATTTTGTGAAAAATATTCGCGCAATAAATCCCTTTAATCGATTTTTTTCACATAAAAAAAAATTAATATAAAAAATGAAATCGTGGTTGACACAATATCAAATAGATTCGAATACAATTTTTAAGCGTTAAAGCAATTTTTTCACTTTATGTTTGTTGGCCATGTAGATGATAAATCAAATGATGATTAAAAAATTCGTATTTATAACCAAAATAATCCAAAAGAACATATTGTAATACTAATTGTAGTAACAGTACCATTTGCATTTAGAACAAAACAAAACACACACACACAAAATACCAATGAAATTCAAAATTTTTTGGATAGTCGTTCGTAACCATTTGCATTGCTGTAAATAAAGATTTCAGTCATAATTCCCACCAAATAGAGCATTTTCGAAAGACACAAACACACATTTAAGCTTGTGATGCTCATTCGATCTTTGATACATTTGATACCAATTCAACGATTCATCGTACACAGACCCATCTCGTGCTATCACTTTTTTTTCGCGTAGAACAGCAACGGCTTCATAGACGTACAAACATTTTAATCAAACATGGTGACCAATATTCACATTAAATCAGTCCTAAAACAAAAAAAAAGAACGAAACAAAATATACATTAAATTCATCAGATACGAAGCGTTCTAGACATTTCTCTCAACTAAAAACAACATATTTATATAGTGTAAGCGCAATCGACAACAAGCAAACAAAAAATATCGACATCCAAATTTAATGTTTCCAATAATTCCATAACTACATATTCACATATAGTGTTTAAATAAATTTCATCAATCGTCCAATGTTGAACTAAGAAGGTAACACATATATAGTAAATGCGGATCGTCCTATCAGGCGAATAAAACAAAACCCACCAAATTCATTTCTTTTATAAACAAAACAAAATCATTTTCTATAAATCACAAACCGTGCAACAAACAAAAAATGGAAATTTTTATTTCCAAAAAAACACTCCGTGGACCACTATTTCACATGATTTGTCGTTTTGATTTGAGATCACTTTTCACACATTCATTGTTTCAAGTGACACACAATTTTCATGGTTTTTCTTTTTTTTTTTTTGAATTTTGTTGCCATCAACAAAGGATTACACACACAAATTGTTTTGTAGATTATTTTCAAAACACATTTAGATTACACAATATGCATTGATTTTGAAACGAAAACCAAAAAGAAAAATCATTCTGTAAATCAATAGCCAAAATGAAGCAAAAAGAAATAGTTACAAAATATTATTATTAGTATAAAAATGTAGCATTCTCAAAGTCGAATAAAAAAAAAACCGATAATGAGAAATTTAACTGAAGAAAAACAACAAATACATCTGTTTGATGATTCAAACAAACAGTACGAATCATGCTTTCAATTATGAACAACTAACAACATACATTAACAGAAACTCTAATACAGATCGATGATTACAAATAAATTGTGGAAAGAAATAAACATTCGGCATTTGGTTTCATTTGAATTTCGTGTTATTTAATCATTTCAGGTGCTCTATGGACATTCTTTGCATCAATATTAAAGTGTCGGCATCAATCCCTTTGATGATTGCAAGAAAGAATGCGACGGCTGATTGATTTCTTATGAGCCCACTTCACATTATTGTTTGCCGAAAGTGTAAATCATGTTAAATTGTTTAAAAATTAGTGGTTGTCCATACACTAATTATAGTTGATTACGTTATAATTTTGGCATCGTTGCTTCTTCTATGCATCTTTTGGCAGCGTTTAGCAGCCGTTTCTATTGCGATGTGTCGGTCACAGCACAAATTATAGATGGAAGACGACAACGAAAACAATGTTTTGCTCTCGTTTCTATGCATGAGAGCTTGTTGTGTTAAGAGCGCCCAAGGCGGTCGGTGCATTCTAATCGATATTTAACGCGGAACAAACATCACTTTTGTGGCATAACAATCAATTTTTGGCACAAACCATCACCAAAAAAAAAAAAATTACATCACAAATCATCTTTCGTCAATCTATTTGTGGCACGAGGTGTTTTGCAACACAAGCTCTGAAAAAAGGACTATGATTAAAGGTCATTAGCAGCAAAAAAGTGTAGAAGTTCGGCAAATCCAAATTCCACATACTATAACATCTTGTTCGGATAAATATTTGCTTTCGGCAAGCAAAAATACAAGCAGAAAAATGGAATAAATCCTTTGCCACTTGTATATTATACTTACAGCTTACAGGTCACTAATACACGTCTTTTAAAATACAATAAACGCGTAAATCTCCGCTTTATACTTGATTTAAATCAATAAGTTTTCGCTTTCAGCTACAAAGATAGAGTCTCTTGATCTAAAATTCTGATATGATTTATTCCCTAAAAATAGAAGCCGAAGTAATAATAAACAAAAATTTCTGTCGAAAGTGTATTATACAAAAACAGCAAAACACACATGAGTTTATGAAATAGTTTTATTACAAAAAAAAATAATTTATCAAATGGAAGCAACGAGCCTATATGAATGTCTGAATGCGTCCATATTGTGCATCATAAAAGTCAAAACGACGAGTCTTTAATAAAAAAATGGGGAAAGTCTCTATCAAATAATTATTGAAAAAAAAAAAAACATATGATTAAGGTAACTATTGGTAACTGCGTCATATATGTGTACATTGTCAAAGCGATAACTGTTTATTGTGTATACTGTTGGATGGAAACATGAACAAACCATTTTACCACAATTGCGTTGTCCACCAACTGGGACTCTTTGGTAGGTTTTGAATTGCGGTTGCGAAATCGGCCGTCGTTTGGCTTTGAGACGTACCAGTGAAAATTTGGCTCTTATAATAACTTTGTGGAGTGGATTTGGGTGCAAAAATAGGCGCCAATGGTTTTGTGGTAAAAGATTGTGTAAGCGGTTCTCGAACATCGTATTGTCGATCGTATATCAGCGGTTGAATTTGTGAAATTTGAGCGATTGGTGTGATTTGTGAAATCTGTGTAATTGGTTGTAACGGCACTTGAAGCGCTTGAGCATTCAATGGCTGATTAACCGATTGCAAATTTTGCAATTGATTTGGAGAGGCTAACGGATTTGTGTTAAGTGATTTGTATGCACTTAATCCAACGGCATTTGTAAATAGATTTGAACCACTTGGTTTCGATGACAGAATCGAATTCAAACCAAATCGACTCGAAATGCGATTGGTAATATCGCACACAGTGCCAGCCACCAAACGTTGCAATGGTGCCGAATAAATCCGGAAATTCGTATCGGTATAGTCTAATGTTGAAATTAAGAAATTTGGCATTCGATCGGATATCACCCAAACATTTCGATTTTCGTCTATTTTCACATCGGCAGGAAAGATTAGACCTTCGTCATCACGGTCAACGGTTCCATGATTTTGTGGCGTGTAAGGCATTGATGTGTGCCAACATCCAATTGCATTTTGATCAATCAAATTGAATAACATGATGCCATCTTCGCTGCACACGCGACTGGTTGTGTGTGAATTTGCTCCACGTTCGGTGGGGAAAAAGAAGAAATCATGATAACTATCATCAACACGATTTTCATCACGGAGAATTCGAGTCGATACGGAAAATTCACGATGACTTGCCAATGGACTGAAAAATAATGTACGATAGCCGTCAGAGCGTGTTGGCGACAAAGTCATTCCGAAAATTCCTTCTTCACCCCACTGGAAGTTTAAGCCACCAATGTTAAAATCACCTCGCAACGGATCTGGGTAGAAATAACTATGCTCAAAACGCCATGAACGATCTTTCTCCCACGAATACCTGCATTAAATAAACACCATTTAATTTTGTATACAATAAATAATCTCTCTTTATTGAAGGGTGTACACTTACACAATTAATCCATAGCCAAGCTCATCGCTGAAGTACGCAAAGGTGTCTTCACAATTTTTTCCAATGTCAACTACGGTATTAGCTATAAAAGTCTAAAAAACATAAAAAAGACATTATGACATGGAAGAAACCTTGAATATAAAGATTTATTACATTGGGATTTGTGTCTTCAGCACGGAATTCATAGCGTCTGATGCGTGTATTTGTTGCCAAATCGAAAACATTTACACTGTACGGACAAACATTCTGTGTTGTGTTTCCGATGCCAATGGTACCGGTATCTAAAACCCACAGTCGACCACATTTGTCAGCTTTGATGCGATATACTGTGTTCAGTCCATTTACACAATCTCCAACCGCATTCGAACGCCAATCGGGGTATGGTATCAACTGTGGTGATCCGCTAATCGTTTGCGCCGTATCAATGTATGTTAACGTTGCAGGAATGCCTAAAAAAATCAAATTAGCAGATCGAATTACGATTTCATTGCATTTGGTGGAAATAAGAAGTGCGTTTTTAAGCATTGATTTCTATATTTAACGCATACGTGTCGATGTTTTTCCTAACAAAAAATTATTTTATAATCTGAAGGTCGCAATATACATGTTAAAAAGTGTGAACGCATTTTTCTCGATGTTTCAATAATTACTGAATATGTTGATGTCGAGTTTAATTACTGATCTTGTACGAACTTTCGAGAAGTGACAGAGTAAAACTTGGCGTCAATTTAGAAGAAAAACTCGTTTTGTAGTTAAAATCAATAAATAAGCAATATATTTTTGTCTTTTTAATTGAGACTTTTTTCCTTAACCATTCCATCGCAGACAAATTCCTGGCCCATGCTTGATTGATAAATAAATAGATATGCATACACAAAAATGTTTGAAATGGTTTGAATGTTGTTTTCCAAAGATAGTGAATAAGAAAAACACTTATTTTATAATTTATATCACCCAGGCAATAAAATAACACGAGCAATTCTTGCAAAACTTGATTCAACGTTTGATGTGATTACCAGTAAAAACAGCAAACCAATTTTCATGTTCAGAGTGTGAGATCTTTTTTACTAATGTAAACGAGAAAAATTGAAAAGGAAAAACCGTGAAAAAAGTTTTAAAATGTCAAACAACAAGCCAATAATTAGCTAATTTTATGGGAAATGTCTTCTTGTTTTGCTATTTGGACACATCCATAAGCAAATGTAATTTATTTATACCATTTATGATGCTTGAGCTTGAACGCTACATAGCATTATACCATTTTCGTTGAAAAACGGTATTCATTGATAAGTGGGCTGCATTTAAACCATTTATGCAAGTCATTACGATGATTAATTAATCAGCGGCTGAGCAAAGTGTTGAATTGATATGTTGCAATTGAATTAAAATTGAATTCATTCATAATTTTGAAAGACTTTTCTGTCAAACCAAGTGAGCAAACAAATGGAACTTGGTACATGGTTGATTTATGTGTATTAACATCAAAATTGACAACTTAAGTACTGTTTTCTCGCCAAAATAGTTGACACACTTCAGTGTTTGATATGAAAATATTCGATTTGCCAGACTTTGCTCAATTAGATCACGTGCTTGTATGCATATTTTCGAGCTCGAAAAATTCTTGTTATTGATATAGTAATATCGTAAGACCATTCAAATGTGAAAATAATACGATAAAAATGCAATAAAAACATTTAAAAGTAGACCACCATTTACAGACCAATGCAGCATTCTTATTACGAAATGCTGATTTAAATGTCATTCACGTTGAGTGTTAAATAGATGAAATAAAAACATGATTGCAATGCAAATGGAAAAACAGTTTTATGGTCATTATTCTCATTATAAAGCAGTTGTTTGTCCATCAGAGAAACATAGTTTCTTGTTGGTCTCTGGTGTTTTTGCCACATCCATTTAATAAAATATTAATTTAAACGCAATTCTTAATTGACACATGAAATTATAAGTTGCGTGCGTAAAACGTTTAGAAAAAATCTTCAAGACACCCAGAAGAAAGTGGATAAAAGCCTATTTCAAATCCGTGTTTTAGCTAGACTCGACGATAAAAGAGGGTTTCTATTGAATGGTGTCTTTTTGCGGTTTTGGTTTATCATCAATTTCACATGAAAGTAAAAATGAAGTGTAATTTGCAGTGAACACGAACGAAGCCTGGTCGAATCAATCGAACGAAACTAAAGCGATATTTGAACAGCAGTGCCATAGGTGGCCTTTGCATGATCCAAACGCCACACAATCGAACCTGTAATTTGCTGTAATTTTGGTTGCAAACGTGTCGATTTTAACTGCAATGCTAAAAGGTGTGAACGAATGTATTACCACCAAGTATATTCGTCTCAATTTAGAGCATTTAGCCAATTATCACTTTCTGTTTTGCTGCCTCCTTCGAGGAGCAAAAAAATATATGTTATACAGGTGAACAATTATCGAATCTAATGTAAACGATCCAAGCGTGACAAACGCATAACGGTAAAAATGCATTTTTCTCCGTATCATCTCTTTATGCTCGACACATTCTTCAGTTGATGTGGTCAATGTAAACATTAACTTTCACAGAAAAAGATGTATGATGTGAAATTTTCACACACAAAAACTCCCTTTTTTTCGCTTGACCTGACTAGACCGAAGGAATCTTTTACTGAAATCAATAGTAAATATATGCAACCCACTTACAGAAAAATTCTGGGATAAAATTCACTATCAAAAGGAACTTAATTATTCGAACAATTTACGAGATTAACCAAAATCATAATTTATTTTTAAATCCATTTTCGGCATTTTCTCAGCCAATCGAAATCAGTTCGACATAATTCGACCGAAATTATGCATTATATTTACGCACGTCACTTGCAATAATTGTTGTATTTTTCTAAACTGTACATGCGATGAACGAATTCATCGAAATATATAATTGGGGTGTTAAGTAAATGTTTAACATCGCGCCATTGTATATACTGACCATCTCGCCAACGTGGTACCGTAACGAATAATTTGTTGCCCCAATGTTCGATGCCAACAGGTAATGCATTTTGTGGAATGTATGTTCCCGATGCAATTGCAATATCTTTGAGCGTTCGTGTTGGAAACACAAAGTCCAATTGATTCCAACTGTATCGCTCTTCCAACTTAAATGCAGCATGTGAAAATCCAAAAAATGCTGTCAAACTCCAAAAAATTACACTTTTCATGATCAACGAGTAATGAGTTGGTCCTCAATATCGATTATATAACTTGACGTCAATTTTTTTTATAAATTATTAATTTAATTTAAAATTAATTAGAATAATGAATCAAATAATTCATTCGACGCTTAGTACTTTTTCGTTTAATAAATAACGGTATCGAATTCTTTTTGATATTCACAACTTTTTTGTGTTCACTTCACTCAAATCTAATGCTGATAGAGCATCAAATCAAACCGTCGCAATCGTTCTAAGCAAAATGACTGTCTACGTTAACAGTGAGACGCGTTCATTTATTAATGAATCAAGAACCCCCACCGACATCAACAGCAAATTTGCGCGCCAAAATCAATCATTTGAAAGAGGCAGGAAAAATACACACAAGAAATGGAATTGGCGTCTTTGAAGCCATAGAAACAAGTTCGTTTGCACAATATATAGAGAAACCGCCATATGTTCAGCTAAATGCAATTGTAAAGGCCGTTATCAAATGGTGTGTAGAAATCGCAGCGTGGCTCCATATAAAGGAAGAATATGTAATGCAAACTACTGTGCAAGCAGTTTTATTATTAACATGAATACCGACTAATAAATAAACTCTTGCACTAACGATGCAGTGGACAAACCGGGTCGCGTGCTTGAATACGCACGACGTAAAACAAAACACAATTATGTCTTTTTTTTTTTTTCATTTTATTCTATGAGGTAAACGAACCAATCGAGTGGAACTGAAAGAGAAGAAAAATAAAACTCTGGACAACAATTAGTTTTGGATACTGTCAATGACGACGATGAGAAAGAAAGTTAAATTATGCATGAATGCAAAATGCGTCTCGACACACGCATTTGATTACGGCTTGCTTTTGTTTTAATTACATTGTTGTGATTTTCTTTCCGCTTTTGCGTGACATGTGACATTTCAAATAATATCAATCTAAGAATCAAGCAATGGACACCTACTCATCACATTTTGCATAAGATTATTGTTACAGCGAAAGTGACTACACTTTCCACGGAAGAAATATATGTATGTATTGGTCGAAAGGTAGCCAATTGTTTTTAAAAACGTGAAATGAAAATGTTGCATGTTTTTTCTCCGTTTTTTACTGTCATATATAAGCCAAGCTTGACTGTCATACCCACGATTCTCTTTCATTTATAATATCTATCAAAAAATCATTTCACTTGTTTTTTTTTTTGTGCGACTGTTGCTATTGAGTTTGGTTTGGTTGGCTTAACAAACTTACCACAAATCTGCTTAAGCATTTTTTTTTACATAAATTGCGGTCTACATTCCACGAACCTTAACTGCATAATGATATTGAAATTAATAGTTGGGCTTGAGTCTAATGAGAAATATCTATCGCTGCATTGCCCAACGACGGCTAGTCGCGAGTCGCGATATAAAAAAGAGTGCAGTGGCAAACTTGTAATTTTTTTTTGAACAAAATAGATTCTTTGCATTTTGTGAAGGTATGAAAAGACAATTTATTTGCAATTTTCACACATGTCGCGAAAACTCGACTGACCGGAATTCATAGCTTCTGAGCAGGGGTCCGAGGGGTTGGATTACCACCCCCCCCCCCCCCTGGAAAACAGATTTGGGAATTACCCCTTTACAAATTGAGAAAAATATTCTTTCGATTTGCTATTTCATATATATCAATAGATTTTCTCTAAATGTTTTTATTTGTTCGGGGCAAAGCATGAATGTGTCACTCACGAAGGGCGCACTCCTTCATGGGAGCCGCTCCTAGCTATGAATGTGTTAGTGTGACTAACGTTGTATGTATTAGTGTGTGATGTATACCAATACGAACTCAGGAGCGGCTCTTGACAAGTACACCACGCTCTTCTGAGGCGCTGCGCTCGCTAAGCAGGCGCGTTATTCACAAGTGCGATTTCATACTCCGGCTGCGGGGCGAGCAAGATAGGAAAAACCCACTTGCACATTTCATCTATGGTTACAATTATAATAAAATATATTTACATGGAAGTTTAATTGAACTGAGCAACAAAAAAAAACACTTTATTGATTTTATACGGACGGAATTGATGAAAAAACAATAACCAACATGAATGCAACTTGATCAGACAAGCCATCTTCAGCAGTCACAGCTAAAAATGACGGACACACTTTCACCGTAAGAAATAAGTTGCACAATAAACATCGACATGTATCAACTAATTAGTGCCTTCGTATCAACTCATTGGTGAAATGCATTTACTGTTTCACATGTTTTTTTTTCATTTGGACAAAATAAATATGATTGTTTTTATAAAATGTTTTGTGTATGAAAGAGGAGTTTTCTCACATTGAATTCATTGGGTTTTTTTTTTCAAATCAAGAAATAAACTCATATTAGGCAGAGTATTTCTGAATCCGAATTCGAAACGATGACATGGAGTGCAATTAACCAAGTCGTGTTATTTCACATGATCGCAACGGTGACTATATATGTTAACATGTGATGAATATCTCAAACCATGACATTTTTATATGAATTCGAATCTATTGCATGATACATACATGAACATGTGATGCATATCGTAGTCAAACCGGATTCCGCAAATTTTATTTGTGCAGATACTTCAAAAACAAACTTGGAAACGAGTTATAGCCTGAAGTGTTGTTTTCTTGGAAAAATACAATTTTTTACAATCAGTGTACATGCCATATGGAAGCAATCATATCTTTTTTATCAACTTTATTTACTTAATTGAGCTCCATCGATATGCGAAACAATTAACATAGATTTTATCACATAAAATCCACAAACAAAATTTGAATAATTATTCCAACTATGACTGGAACCTCTGAACCATCGCCTATTTGAAGCGTGTGAAAACAAAACAAAAAACAAATCATGTTAACACAGCAATTCATTCGTGCAATTGTTCAACAACATGTATTTTCATGCATGAATTGAGTGCAAAAACATGTAGTATAACAAACCAATCTAAGTCAAACAACGATTTTTATCAGCCACCCGATTGATGAATAATATTCTTTACTTTTTCATTTGGCAGTTTTGAATGAAAACATGAAGTAATCAAAATAAAAAAATTTCGACTGACTCTTAATTAATTTTCAGATTTAATCTGAAGTCGAAAAAAGTGCAATCAATCAAAATTGTTTGAAGTGATAACGGGCGACGGTTACATCATGATAGCGACGAACTATAAAAAGTTGATTGAGTTTTAATTGATTTAGTGGGGGCGGTTTTTGACAGCTCAATTCTGATGCAACAAAATCATCGAGCATGCGATGCACTGAATGGAGCATTAACGAACACAATCATTTGAAATTTGTTTTTATCAAAATTATATTTTGCATTTCTGTTTTGTATTGTTTCGAATCATGGTTTTGGAACTTTGGTTATTTCGTCTGAAAAAAAAATGATTTAGTGCCCTTAATTACTTTTAGCAAAATAGAAAAGTCTGAAATGAACTCAATTTATATACAGTTTCAAACTGGGTGATTCGAAATGCATGCAATGCATTGACGGCACTACAGCCAATTTGTTAGCGTTTACTGTAAGTGTTTCTGCGTTATTTATCAAGCGTAAATTTAAATTAAGTGTGAACAAACTACAAATCGCACATTAGCCAAGTAAATGGTATAACTTGTAATGCTAATTTGATGTATTCTATAGATTCAGTGTCAAAGTGGCGATTATAAGTTACAACATACTTTCTTTGTCCGCTAAGCTATGTGTGTCTATGTACATAAATCTGTATTTATTTTGGCACAAAGTTTTCCGGCCAAACGGAACGAGACATACCAAAGTATGCTGAACAATAAAACCTCAACGTTCATTCAACCAGATGATTATGGAGCATTTTATACGCAAATTGTAAGCACTACAGCTATTTGTGAGTGAGTGCGTATTGCCATGCGTATTTCCATTTTATGAATTACATTGTATGTGATACACACTATACTGAAAACCGGTCTGTAAAACTTAATCTTGGCAAAACTTGCTGGCAGAATTTTACTCGTTTACAATGTATATGCATGGCTTTGGCCTCCACATTGAACCATAAATGTTATGTAAAGATTCACAACACACTTTGCTTGATGCGCTCACAACATTTCAATCCGCATATCAAACACAAGACAGCTTGGATTCCGCATTCAATGAAACTGAACCATAGACATCGTCTATCTACTTGACATTCTCAGTCAACACTCGTTTTACAAGTCAATACGCGAATGCAACGAATGTGTACAATTCTACATATTGCACGCTTCATCTGTTATTACTGTTAAGGCTAACTTTAGCAATTATAAATTTAATTGAAGCTGACGTTATCGAAATCAAGTTCGATTTTATTATGATTTGATTCTGATTTGAATCTGCTTTGATTCAGAAATTGAAACCACCAAGACAAGACAGAATTATTTGTCGGAAAAAAACATATTGTTTCTGTTAATTAGAAGAAAAAAACATGTTGTATTGTTGAATGCAATCGTAAAAAATGCGGATTAAAAACAACTGAAATCGTTTGTTTTTTCATCATCACACACTTGACCTTCCTCATTCACTGGTCGCTCAATAGGCAATAAAATTTAATCGTAATTTTTCAAATGACTATTGTTTCAATGCTATTTCAAATGGAGTCGATGATCTTTTCCATCACGAGAATACTTCATTTGATTTCTGCATTTGAAGTGCATTTGCTCGAACGAGATGCAGTGGAAATGAAGGAATTAAGAAATTCCTTATTGAATTCGGGTCAAGATGAAATACGAAGAAATATGATTGAAGAATAAGAAAAAGGACAAACGGAATTTTTTTCAAGTATTCAATTAAAATTGATGCAGGTAAAAAGGTCTGAAAATAAAGAAACTGTGCATAGACGAAGCATGTAGAATGAAAACATTGTTTCACTGCACCATCTACCGTCGAATGGATTAATGTGTAAAACGCCGAAATGTATGCAATTTGTGTGTTAGTTCGGTGCTCTTTGTCAATAATTCAAAGTATTTATTCTAAAATCGGAAGAAGAAACTTGTAACATTGCGTGCCGCAGCATTTCTTTCATCTATGTTTGCATGATATTGTGTTAACATTGATTGAGGTAAATATTACGTTATTGCACCATTCGTGTTCATAAAAAATGGCATAATCTCGAGATGTGTATTGCGTTATCATTGGCATTTTGTTATTGTTAAAAGCACTACAAAACGGAACCAATGATATCAACGTCTATTTGCTGATGGACAAATAAAAGTGATAACAATT